AGCTTGTTTTTTGAGACGTGATCGAAGGCTCCTTTGATATCAAGAAAGATAGTAGTAGTAGTCTTCTGCTTTCTTTTCTGCTGCTCGTGCGTACGTAGGATCGCGGTTTTCGTGATCTTTTAGGGAAACGCTCATTCCATGAAACACAAGGTTACACAAACTCAGGAACTACTGCCACTTCGGTATATGAAGAATTACATAACAAAGATAACCAGAGATTGTAGGTGAGTGCAGAACGGGCGATACTGATGCCGTACACCCCCACGCCAACCACCTCTCACTCCCTTGTTCACGCCGCTCAAGACAGAGCCAGTCAGACTGTAATTTTTCTAATACATAGAAGGATCTAAGAACGGATAACACGGATGTAAGTCGCAAAAGCGATGCGGAGCCAGTCCTACACTTGGTTCAGCCACTTCGTTATACTGAAGCAGTCCCCTGAGCATGACTGTGCTCGTGCGTTCAAGCTGTCATTGCTACTATCTATAGTGTGTAGCGGAAGAGTACTCCGGGTCCATTGGCTACTCCTTCTACACCGACAGCCTGGTCCGACTTGTGGTTGAGTCTCTGAAGCCAAAATCGAAGGGTAAGAGACGCAGCTGCGCAGCAGAGTAGCGCCACAGTCAACACGATGCATCCCATACGGTAGAGACTAGACGTGTCGGTCAGTTGAGTTTCATGACGAGAGTTATGTGATACTTACGGTGCACTCCACTCAGGGTAAAGGTATGCAGTGGCAATGTTTGTTGCATTAGATACAGCTGTAGCCAAGGCAAGTGCCACAGCTCTCTTTGCCTTTGGGCGCGCAACAGTGGCAGAGACCCAGGGCAAGATGAGCTGGAAAGCTGAAAACGAACCCATAGCTTGCAGAAACATGGCGAAATATCGAGGGCCAGTTTGATGCGTTGACATGGAAATGATTTGCCCAACGGCAGATATCACACACGCAGTGACGATGTGGAAGCAATGTTCACCTGTGCGTCCTGAGTGCCACGAGTTGAGGATCGAAAAGAAAAAGGCCAGGAAATAAGGAGGCGCAGTAAGCAGCAAGGTTTGAACACGTGGGAATCCGAGCGTCTTGACAATGGATGGGAAGAAGTAAGTAAAACTCATAGAAACAACGGCACAAGTTTGTATGAAGACCAGTAGTGGCTAGATGTTGAAAATAGTTAGCCCCGGAAATTTGAAAGCGTCCGAATCTTCTTGTGAACAAAGCTACTTACCACTTTCGGGTCAGAAAAGGCCTGTTTAAGACCAGTGAAAACGGACTCTTCAACCTCGTCTGCTACACCATCGTTCTCGCGTTCAAGACGCCATTGAGCCATAGCAGTCTCTTCAGCTGACAAAAACGAGGTGTTCGAGGGGTAGTTTGGTAAAAGCATATACCCACCAAACGCCACGATGATCGTAAGGGCACCTTCGATAATGAAGCTAAAAGTGTTCAAGTCAGATTTTACTCATTTGAACATCATACCGACACTCACATCCACCTCCAAGAAGGATAGCCACCCAGCCCCTCCATTCCATCAACGATTCCAGCCGCAATAAGACCACCAAAGGCTGACGACAGCGTGTACCCCGAGTAAAAGGTTGCAATGCGACTAGGCAACTCCTTCCGCGTGTACCAACAGGAGAGGAAGAAAATACAACCGGGGAAATACGGTGCCTCTGTGACGCCAACTAGAAACCTCAGAGCCACCAATCCAGCATGATTTTGTACAAAGCCGGTAGCGCCAGACACAATACCCCATACTATAACGACAGTGGGTAAGTATAGTCGCGGTTTGAAGATTGACAGAAGCATGTTCGATGGCACCATCATGGAAATATAACCGGCCCACAGTACCATTACGGCTGTTTGGTATTGCACATCGTCGATGCCTAGCGATGCTTCCAGGCCGCCGAGACGAGCATTAGCGATGGCGTTTCGGTCGAGGACATTGAGCAAAAAGAGGACGATTAGGATGGGGAGAGAGCGCAAATCAATCTTCCGGACGAGTTTCTTCTCTAACGATGCCAGTTGCTCGGGCGTGCAGTGGCGCAGGATGTCAGGGACAGGGCTGTGAGTGTCATGTGTAGCTTCGATCTGCCCGAATTCTATCTCTTTCTTCCTAATTGAGCTTCTATCCGCGTCCATGGTAGGTGTATAGATGTACTTTATATTCAAAAATGTAAATGAAGTGCTGACCCAAGTTGCAGAGGATTACCATGTAACAAAAACCGTGACAACGAGTTTATTATTTATAAAGCCGTATTTAGAAAACGGTTGATTTCGGGCGTAGATAGTTCCCCGCGGATATAACACCCCCGCATTATGCGGGTGATCTATACCGTATGGACTGGTAGGATCACTAACGCCTGCTATGCGCGTGAGCTGTAAGCCAAGGCTGTGGATCACGGCGTTTTGGCCGAGATGGACGGCGCGCTTAACGTGTGTCCTAGACCCACTCTCTCTGATGATACTTGAGATGTACACAGTACATAACTCGGACGTCGAGTTATGCGGGTCTGGAATTTTTCTTGTTTTTCTCTTACACTGTGAAGACATCAGAATAAGCAATTATTTAGTCCTAAATAACAGACATTAAGCGAACATCGCAACTATCCGCTTTCGGCCCGTCAGGGCAAGCTGGTTAAAATAGAAGCATTGCGAATTAGTAAATAAGCTTCGGTATTTGAAGGATGCCAGAAATTCATTCAACTCTCTTTGATCTAGATTAGTAATGATCCCTTTCCTATGCTCGCAAGCAATAATACGAGCTTGACAGGTGATGAAGGGCTCTGGGATGAAGCAGGGTGTCCTTTGGTTGGATGGTTTTGGAAATAAGAGACGTAATAGTGGGTATCGTTGCCAGGCGTGAATCAATGTTCCCAGATTGGATGGTGCACAACGTCTTTTCTTGATAATGGCATTCCTAGCTGTCCCCGCAATTCCTAACACCTCAGCTCTAAGCGAATATCTGTGAATATGCAAAACACGGGGGCACCAAGATTGCTAGGTACATTGACAAATCATGCCGTCCAAGCGCATCTCGTATCATCGAATGCCTTGAGAATGATTGCAGTGGAATTGCTAGGACCTCAGCTTCATGGCGAATTCTCCTATTGAGCAGATTACACCCTTATCGTATGTTCTGGAACCATTCGGGTGCAGCGCACAGCGGCACAAGGCTATGGTGGTAGAAGCCCAAGGATTCATGAGCATCGGAGGTGATGGTGGTGAGACCATTTTTCCAGATCCACACTGTGTCTGGCGTGCCGACCCATCCGCGACAACAACGGATTTTTCAAATCGGATATCGACCATAAATACCAGTATTTAGGACGCAATATGCGCTCGATTACTCGATGCCTGGTATACTGGTCAAAGTCTGGCGAGAATACTACGACATGAAAGTCAGACGATGCTCTATGGTGCCTGGGGCACGAGCCAATAGGACATCCGGATCTTTTCTCGGCCCGGTACTAGCGCGCAGGTACAATATGAGTTCCAGAAACTTCTGCCTCAATGCCCCCTCTACATAATTCCATTCTCCAACCCGCCTTTTTAATTGAAACTGTTTATTTTCTCTTTCTCAATCTCTTCAGCTCTCCGATTAGCTTCCTGGGGCATAATTTGTAAGTAGTGCATTGTACTTTTCCTACATTTGAATGATGAGACACAAGCTGGCACCAGTCTGAGAAGACTTGTACTCTTTGCATGCGGATCAGCTGCATAGACTTTGTAGTCGCCCACTGATATCTCTTCGATATATGCGTTCTTTTGATCAGTTTGACAGTGTTGAAGCTGACCAATTTGCAATAGAAAGTTACCAATCACCCGACGCGCGCTCTCTCTTCGCTACCATGGTCCTCCACAACCCTAATAATTGGCATTGGGTCAACAAAGACGTCTCAGTGTGGACGCGCGAGTATCTTGACAAAGATCTTGCGCAAATATCTGCCGAGAAAAATGGCGTGACAGCAAAGATTGACAAGGTGGTGAGCATGGACGGAGATGTCGATGTAAGCCAACGCAAGGGCAAGGTCATCACCATCTTCGACGTGAAGCTGAAGTTGGAATACTCAGGTATGTCATTTTCCTAGTTGCACTCCTCTTGGGCGAGCTGACTCGGTCGGCAGGCAAGAACAAGGAGGGCGAGGAGACCAGCGGCACTATTACCATTCCAGAGGTCGCTCACGACACCGAGGAAGACGAGTATGTCGTATGTTCCCTGCGCTTATCTGCTTTCCCAATATTTGTATGACGTTACTGAATCAATGCTGACATTTTGGTAAAGTTTGAGGTAGATGTTTACTCTGAGGACAGTAGCAAACAGCCCGTAAAGGAGCTAGTACGCTCTGACATCCTACCGCAATTGCGAAAAGCCTTTGCAAAGCTCGCGCCAGCGATCATGGCCGAGCATGCAAAGGATATCCAGCATGCGCCAGGCGCCAACCCCAGCACCAACTTTACGCCTGCCAAGGTTTACTCGAGTTCAAGCGTGAATAAGTCGAGCAGCTCCAAGGCGGAAGCAACATCTTCCCAAAAGAGTAGCTCTGGTGCAGTTGTCAACGTGACGACAATCACAGACAGCGCAGAATTCCGGACAGATGCAGCCAATCTGTACCAGACTTTCACCGACCCCCAGCGTCTTGCCGCGTTCACACGGGCACCGCCTAAGAACTTTACAGGTGCCAAGCCTGGCGGCAAGTTTGAGCTATTTGGCGGTAACGTCAGCGGAGAGTTTACCGAGCTTGAGGAGCCGACGCATATTGTCCAGAAATGGCGACTTGCACAATGGCCCGAGGGGCACTACTCGACGCTGTCTATATGGTTTGATCAGAACGACATTGATGCAGTGACCGTGATGAGAGTAGAATGGGCAGGCGTACCGGTTGGTCAGGAGGAGCCGACCAAGACCAACTGGGAGCAGTATTATGTGCGAAGTATCAAGACGACGTTTGGCTTTGGCACGGTATTGTAGACGGCCAAGGCTCGGTTGCATTGTATTGCGGCACGGGAGTACAAGGCGTTGGAGGGTTTTACGAATGCATACGAAGTGACGGACCCGAAAGGGCATGAATGATAGGCATGATGGTAGGTGTACTTAGTACATGTAGAAACAATCCAAGAGGTCTGATGACCAATGAAAGATGATTACTGTGCACGATAATTTGAATGACGTGAGGGTGGCTTGTGCAGGTAAGACGGAAGCTTAATCGTCATTTGCCCGCTTGTACGATGCCAATCACCAAAGTCCAGACAGGACGGATCCATTGACTGAGGTGATAGATATGGATTCATCTGGCGTGCACAAAGCTCAAGTCAAGGTCGATGAAAACGAAAGTGATTTTTCTGAGCATGTGCATTGGTCATGTCGCTCGTTGCTGTGTTGTGTTACTTTTTGGCGTCTGCTCAAAGACGTGGCAGTTTAAAGGGGTCGACATTGCAAGTGGGAAGCAGAGGCAGGTGTGGATAAGGTGGTTGTTGGATGAATAAGCAAGGCACGTGCGGACGGTGAGTAGCCCACGCCATTGGGTGTAGATGCTGGTACGGACATGGCTATTTACACATGTGTTTGCATATGTGTACAGATGCAAGTACGTATGCATGCATATGCGTACGTAACTAAGTATATGGAGTCGAGTATACACGGGGTAGCACGACGACGACGACGGCTCGGGAGTGGTTACTGCTGCTGTGCGACAAGCCGGGCCCAGGCCATGGACATTGACAGGAGCCGGACGCATGGAAACGGGACCGCCCCGAGCGTGCTGTGGGTGGAAGCCGTTGCAGGAGCGTTGCAAGAGTGGCCGTGGGGTGCGAGTGGTGCGGGCGCGGCCCCTGCTAGCGGGCGTCGCATGAAGGCTGGGAAACAGTTGGGCGTTGCAAGGCCGCATCAGCCGTCGCGCCATGTCTGTCCACACCACTGCCATTGCCATTGCTGCTGCTGCTGCTGCTACCACTGCCATCTGCACTGCCTGACGCCTGCCTGGCTGTTGCTTGACCCCCCGCGACCAACTGACGCGACCCCGTCAGCTTGGCTCCTACTAGCACTCCCGCTCTTGGTCGGACATAGCACACCACCACCAACTTTTCCATTCACCCTCCCATAACCACCCGCCTGCACATGGCGTGCTCCCCTGCCCGGCCTCGCTGAGAGGCTCTCCGTCTCAGCCCACCTGTCCCTCTTCCCCTCGTCCATCCTCCCTCTCCATCCCTCTCCCCTCCCCCCTCCCCCCTCGTTGCCGCGGAGTGGCTCCGCGACAGGCGGCCGTGCGGCGACACAAAACACAAGAGATATGGCGCCCTCTGGCACGAGCATGTTTGCCAAGTTCCGGCCTGGCCATGCGAAGCGCAATGCCTCATCCGTCGCCCCTCCAGAACAGGCCGTGTCGAGCCCCACCCCTTACCCACTTCCAGGCCCAGCGTCGCAATCCACAGAGTACTTGTCGTCGCCGCGTTTCCACCAACACCAACAACATGCCAGCCTCCAAACTGCCTCGTCCCCCGTATCGCCCTTTCCACCCAAGCTGCCGCCCATTGCCCGTGTCGCCTCCAAGCTGGACAAGTCGCCCTCGCCAAGCAGTTCGCACTACACCCCCAGCCAGCACTCGGCCACCACCACCGACGGCAGCCCTAGCAACGTGATGGCCCACGATCCCACCATGCTGTCTCCTCCCCAACGATCGCACGACTTTCCCTCGCCCGTCCACGAGCAAAAGCCCCTCTCGGCCCGCTCCAATACGGCAACCTCGCCTCTCGCATCCCTGCACTCCCTGTCCGAGACTCCCTCGGCCATTTCCCCAAGCCACTACTCCATGTTCTCCAAGTCGCAGCCCTCATTACTGAGCGGCATCAGCGACAAGCTCACGGGCAGCTCCAAGAGCACATCAATACCCACCCTGGCGCCACCACCACTACCCCAAAAGTCAAGATCCAGGCTCAATCTACGGAAGCCAATGTCTCTGCTCATGCGACGAAAGTCGGCACAGACACTGGATCCTCTGGCCGACGAATCCCTCGTCACCCAGCGCTCCCCTTCCAACCTCCCGCCCATGCCCGACAACTACGACCCGAGTATTCGCGGAAAGATTGTGCACGACTTCAATGCCCCCAGGCTCAACAGAAATTATTCCTACAACACCTCATCGGAGGCAGCCGAGTCACAACCCGAGCTCGCTCGCGCCAGTCCGCCAAAAATCGACAGGGAGCACACGCCCGTCTTTCGCGAGCATTTCGACGATGACACCAGCTATGAGCAGTCGCAGGCGGCGATAAGGGCAGAAAATCTGGCCAACAAGGACTTTTTAGCACGGAATTCTGTCCAGTTTCCTCCGCCTGAACACTCACCACTTCCTCCTCCCATGCCGCCCAAAACCTCCCCGGTACCACCGCAGCCTGCGCCACCAAGTTCCTCGCCGCCGTCTCGGCCGTCGTTCCAAGGAATGGATGGAGTCAATTCGGTGTTGTCGCCAGTGCAGGAGTCTGAGGATCCATCCGATGTCTCCGCAGACGTCACGCCACGGAAAAAGAAATCCACAAAAGCAACCATGCCCCCAACACGCTCAAGAGCCACCTCCGTCACAGATCCCTCTTTCCAGCCAGATGGATTGCCAGCCCGTTTTAGTAGTAGAGCTTCAAGATTCAGCTTCCAGATCTCAGGCGGCACAGATTCTGCGCAGGAAAAGCTGCTCGAAGAGCGACACAAGGCAAAGGAGGCGGAGAAGAAGCAAGCGCGCACGTCTACAAATTCTGTTGAGGATGAGTACGACGAATACGGCATGGATGACTACGATGACATGGACGGTGGGTTCGATGAGGAAATTCCTATGCTCGGTGACGAAGATGAGTTCGCTGGTGGATTGGGTAACCAAACGCTCGATTCTAGCATCAATGGGTTTGACTTTTCCTCTTTGTCGATACAACAAAACATGAACAACCCAATGAATTTTGCGCTTGGCCAGATGCAAATGCCCGTCGACATGAATGGCAACCCCATAGGGTTCGCCATGCCAGGTCCCATGTTTCAGCAAAATTACATGCCGGCGATGACTAACCTAGCTGGTGCGCCGAATGCGACAAACACTCAACTACATGGCCTAGGATTGAGTAGTTCCCAAAGCGAGGGAGATAACTCATCACCAGTTAAGCTGGCGGATGCGCTCACCCAGGCTGCACCCGCTAGCAGTAGCCAGCCAGTATCAAACAATCTCGATCTCGACGATGACATGTACTTTGACGATGGACTGATTGGCGATCAGGACGTAGGTGCGACCGAATTCGACGAAAGCGTCTTCGACGATCCCGATGGGCCACTCTTTGACAGAAAAGTCAAGCTTCCTGCCGAGGGACAGTCGTCCACTGCTCAGCCTCGCGCATACGATGTGCTGGATCCCGAGACTGGCTACGAGGCCGACGATGATATTGTTCCTCAAACCCTCGACAAATCAGCCCCTTCTCTTGCTCACAAGACTTCCATTGCACAGCAAATGGCCGTGCCCAGCTTCGAGAATCTCAGTGCTTACCACAGTGCGCTTGCTGATGCGGCAGTCCGCGCCGAGGCTGCTGGCCGGTTTGATAGGAAGACGAGTGTCGATGCGGGTCAGCCTAGCTCTGAGGTCGAGGAGCCCTCAGTCAGTCAGTCCAGACCCAGCTTGGTGCCTGACGATGGCCGCTTTAGTGTGGACACGACCAGCTTCCCACTGGACGATGATGTTTACGGAATGAGCTCAGGGTTCGTCGACGACTACGACTACAGCGACTTTGATTCGGCTCTCGAAGACGATCCAATCATTGCTGCAGCAAACGCCGAAGCACTAGCATATGATGATGAAGGTTTTTACGGCCAGGAATTCGGCTTCTATGCATCCGCGGTTGGCGAATCACCTAGCGCTTGGGGTGGCTTCTTTGGCCCATCTGGCGTCGGTCGCACTGTTAGTGGACGGAACGCCGTGAGAGAACCCAACCTGACGCCCATCACTGAACGAAGCGAATACAGCACACGCAATTCATTCATCAGTCTGAATCAATTCCGAGATGGACAGCAGCCCATCGCCAGTCCTGCACTAGCACAACTCGCCCGCATGAGTCCGTACGGCGGATTTTTCGGTCAAGAGGAAGAGGATATGAGCCTGGATAGTTTGATGAAGCTGAGAAAGGGTGCCTTTGGTGCTAGTGCTTCCAGTTTGCCAGGAAGCGTGTCCAACAGTCCACGTACTTCTTCGCCCATGGGCATGCAATTCGTTCCTCGGGCTACGACTCCTGCAGGGAATCGCATGATGGAGCACCCCTCCAGCCCTGTGGAAAACCCATATTTTTCCAGCAATAATTTATCAGGACACCAACCCCATGATGATGGCGATTACGAGGAAGGTGACTCAAGTCTCATGGACGCTGTTAATGGCGCGCACGGGTCTGGTAGCTCCAGTGAAGACGAAGCTGGCGGTAACGGACAAATGGAGAGCCCTACACTTACAAGCAGTGATTACAACAGCCTCTCGAGTCCGACCGGGCATATAATCGGGAACGAAGCGCCAGTCCTGCCTTCAATATCTGAACTATATGCTCAGCACAACTTGAGCCTGGCCATGTCCCCGATCAGCATCCCTGTGACATCACCTTCACACAGTTCGCTCCCTGCATCGCCCTTCCCGATGGCACTGTCCTCGCCATTTCCGCCTCAACCTCATACCCGCCCACCTAACCCTCCTTCTATCAACACCTCCTTTTCTTCACCAACCGCTGGCACAACCTCGACGCCTGGTGCGCCAAGGCGACAAAGCGTAGTTCTCAGCCCCATCTCGACATCTTCTCCTATTACACCAAACGGCAGTAGCAGCGCTGGGGGCTGGAACCGCGGCCACAGCAGGAAGGGCAGCACAGCGGATAGTGTGACCTATGTCCGTGAACACGACGAGGCGGGAGAAGGGAGATGGGTGCTTGAACGGAGGCGCACTGCTGAAAGTGGCGAGTTGGAGTTGATTGGAAGGAAGATTGTGGAAGGTGGACGTATTTAGATACCCCTTTGTTTGTTTTTTTTGTGGATGTGAAGCGTAATTGCATTTGTATGGCGTCTTCTTGTTGCACATGCATGGCTCAAGAGAAGGTTTTTGGCTAGTTGAAGGGCCGATTGCAAGAGCAAGAGAAAGGACGGGGTACATGATTAGCATATACATATACACAGCATATGAATGAATGACTCTTTTAAAACAACATCTGCCCTTTTTTGTTAGTATTGCTTTGCGACTCGAAACAGAAGAAATACTGAAAGTTTCGCTAGAGATACCATATATATTTATCATTTACAATTTTGAGCCTATGCGGGAACGATCACTACTATATCTCACCATAAAACCTTATTTCAAGGACCAAATCAAGCCACGGATCCGACCAAAAAACACTCCCATCCCAAGAACCCTCCTCCTGATAACAAAACAAAAACGGCCAAACCCTTCATTCCCCATACACCCATTCATCTTTTCCCCCAAGCCACCCTCCACAAAAAAAAATGCTTCGACCCGCCCGTGTCGTCTCCTCCAACCCCACCCTGTCATCCAAACCCAACCTACATTCCCAAACCAGCCTAGCGCCACCCACCCTAGGCACATCACGACATCTCCCCCCTCGATTTCGTCTTTTGCACAACCCGCACCTTTGCCCGCGACATGCAGCAAACCCGCATGAACCAGCCCGAAACAAGCACCAATTGATTGACGACAAGATTAGCTACTACTCCTTTGCTTTTTTTCTTTGACTTTACTCCAGCCAAGGCAACACGACGGACGGTGTGAGATATGTGGAGGAAGGTTGGTATGTGTATGTCTGTCTGTCTCCAATTGAATGTGTATGAATATATAGCTTTGAGGGGGGGTGGGGCGAAGTTTGTGCCAATCACGCGAGTTCCCTCTCTCTCTTTTTTTTTTTGAGAATAAAATAAAACGGGGGTTACCATGGGGGGGATAGGGGAGAGTGCGCTGTGGATGGCGAGCTGGGCAAAGTGCGCCAGTGTGGAGGGGGTTGCGTATGATGACAGACNGGGGGGGGAAATCTTGCGTCATTTGGGGACGGAGGAGGGTGATAATGATGATGGGGTTAGACAAGGGTGTAAGTAGGTTCGTTTTCTGGAAAATAGAAACGTATAAAAAGCCTCTCTGCTTTTTTTTGCGCCATGTGTAGGAAAATTTTGTTTGCGAGCTTTGCTGCTGCTTGGTCATTGTTATTATTTGCTTATCCATCCATATCCATACATTCCCTGTTAAGGCATTTCTTTCCACCCAACGCGGCGTTTTTTTGGGTCACTGAACGGTTTTTTTTTCTCTTTTCTGTTGGCTTGATACTTATTACAAGGGTGAGAGGGGGGAAGGAGCTTGAAAGCAGGGAAATGGCAGAAGACAAACATGACGCTGAGCATGCGCTTAGCAGCGACTCGGATACCACGACGGACGAACAACAAGTTCTTGCGCAGATAAGTGAGGCTGAGGAGAAGAGGTTGCTGCGCAAGTTGGATCTGCGCTTGTTGCCTGCCGTGTCGATTTTGTATCTGTTGTCGTTTTTGGATCGGAGTAATGGTAACTATACTAATCCTTTTTTTTTCTCGACTTTCTACTCCCCCCCACCCCCTCTCCCCCTTTGTCCATTCCTCAATGTGGGAATGGAAAGAATAGGGTTTAACAACAAGGCTGACGGGAACAATTTTTTTTAGTCGCCAATGCACGCATCGAGGGTCTCACAAAAGACTTGAAAATGACAGGGAATCAGTACTTGACTGGTCTCACGCTCTACTTTGTCGGTTACGTGCTATTTGAGATTCCGTGTAATATTGTGCTTAAGCGGACGACGCCGCGGTTCTGGCTGCCGACGCTGACGGTGGCATGGGGGGTTGTAGCGACACTGATTGGTATTGTGCAGAATCTGACAGGATTTTTGATTGTGAGGTTTTTGTAAGTTATTGTTCTTTTTTTTTCATTACTTTTCCAAACAGATACTTCTTTTGGGAGGGCATTTCGAAAAATGGAGAGAAAGGCTAATGAGGAGATTGTGAATAGTCTTGGTGTCACGGAATCAGGACTTTTCCCGGGAGTCGTGTACTATCTGAGTATGTGGTATAAGCGGAATGAGCGGCAGTATCGCATTTCGCTCTTCTTTAGCTGTGCCTCGCTTGCTGGGGCTTTTGGTGGTGTATGTGGAACCTCTTCTACTTCAAGGAGAAGAGAGAAGAATTTAAGCTGACACTAAGAATAAGATCCTCGCATATGGTATCGCGCACATGCGTGGCGTAGCTGGGCAGCCAGGATGGCGGTGGATATTCATCCTCGTACGTACACTTCACAATCTCCTGAGTCGCATGCATACTAAAATCTGCAAACAGGAAGGTATCGCCACTGTCCTCATTGGTATCATAGCATACTGGTTCATTTCCAACTACCCATCTACCGTATCGTGGCTCTCCCCCAAGGAACGCACATTTCTCCAAGCACGCCTCAAGGCCGACAGTGACGCCACAAACGACGAGGCATTTTCTTGGGATCAAGTTATTCTCGCCGCTAAAGACATTAAAGTCTGGCTGTATGCATTTGGATTTCACACCATGAGTTTACCGCTGTATACTCTATCTCTATTCCTGGTATGCCTATCCCTATATCAACCAAACCCCTAAAACCCCAAGTAGTCTAACCTAGTTGTATTAACAATCGAATAGCCCACAATCATAAAAGACATGGGCTACACCTCCGCCCAGAGCCAACTCCTTACCATCCCCCCCTACGCTCTTGCTACTCTCTTCACAATCCTCATCGCTATCCTCTCCGAACGCTACGCCCGCCGGGCCGCTTTCATCCTCTTCACTTCCTCCTTGGCAATCATCGGCTACATCATCCTACTCGCAAACACGAACCCGCGCGCACGCCCAGGCGTTTCTTATGTAGGTACTTTCTTCGCTGCCGCCGGCATCTACCCGTCCGTCGCCCTCGTCCTCTGCTGGCCCGCCATCAACGTCAGCGGGCAAACCAAACGCGCAACAGCCAATGCACTACAGATCAGTATTGGCAACCTGGGTGCTGTGCTAGGTACACAGCTATACCGTGCCAACAGCGGGCCGAGATACGTTCTTGGACATAGTTTTGCGCTGGGGTATCTTGCGATGAACTTGGTGGTTGTGAGCGCGTTGTGGGTGGTACTTGACCGCGAAAATGCGGAGAAAGATAAGGTGCTGGAGAGTGAACCGCATGTGCCTGGGTTCCATGATAGTGCTGAGGATTTGGCGTTGGGAGATAGGCATCCGAGATGGAGATTTCAGGTTTAAGAGGGAGGAAGTCGGAGATGGGGGGAAAGGTAGACATGGAAAGGGGTATTTTTTTTTTCAACGAGGAAGAGAACGATGTTATACATATACACGCTGGTTTTACGATTGCTCTGACCATCTATCTGACGAGACAATATTTCCACCCCGACCCCCCCAGACGAAGACACCTTTACCAAACGAACCCCTCCTAGTACCCAACATCTACCAAAGCTTCGGGAAAAACATGGGCGTCTCCCTCTTCCACCGCTGATACTCCTCATCGCCACCGTACTTCTTATCATACTTCTCCTCACTCAACGGCACCCCACTAATCTTCAGCAGCAAGAAACTCACAAAAGCCGGACTCGCCGCACACATGCCCGTCACCAGCATCTTCCCACTCAACCCCCCACTCAACCCCAGCGCCGCCTGCGCCGGCTGCCTAACCAGCAACCCCGCCGCCGCAACCGCAATACCAGACCACAACGTCGCCTCACCAAAATAATTCGGATGCCTCGACACAGCCCAAAGCCCATGGGTCAAAAACTGCTCTTCGTGCTTCTTCGCCTTCTTCGCCTGCACCCACGCATCCTTTTGCCGATCAGCCACAACCTCGAATCCCAATCCGAACACGAAAATCGCCAGGCCCAGGATATCCGTCAGGTACGGTTTTGACGAGACGGCTTGGCCAAGTAGAGACGAGGCATATGCCGAGCGCGGCACAGAGTTGACCAGGATAACGGGAAGCGTACACAGCGAGACCCACGCTGCCTGTGCGAAAAACGCGACCAGGAATTTCGGCGGCGAAGAGCGGATACTGTCGAAGCGCGAGTCTTTTCCGTCATCACTGGAAATGCGTCGGAAGAGGTATGATCCCACTGTTTAATCCAGGCGTTGTTTAGTAAACAAAAAATGGTTGTTGTCACGTGGAGTTCGTTTCGATCCTTGTCAGGGGGGGAAAGGGAAGGGGGGTATGGGAAGGATTCAAAGCCTGGTTACAACTTACACCTTGTAGCCCACAGGCCCACCGCAGCGCTCAATAACGCTTGTCTCCACCACCACGTCGTGCCTTGTCCGAGACCTTGGTTGCCGAAGTAGTCGACAAGGCCATTTGTTGCTGTTCCTGCGGCGCGGGCCCGCAGATAGGGTAATGTGAGGCTGAGTGCTGTGCAGGAAAGGTAAGTCAGGCTGCCGCTGAGGTCGTAGTAGCGCTCTGTTTGCGCGGCGATGGAGGGGATTGCAACGGCGGCTTGGATGCCGTACGCAAGAGCCACGGTAGGGACAAGTGTGCGTAGCAATGGGTTCTTGAAGGCTGTTGCCCTGAGCAGTGTGTGTAGGAGTGTCATTTTTTTGGCAGTACTATAGTTAAACTACGAGCGAGAACACTCTTGCTTCTTCGCAGGCGGGGAGGGGTGGTCAAGGCCCTATTTAACAGGCGCTGGGAATGCGCCGGGCGAAGTGGCTTCAGTAGCTTCCATAATTTGCTTATTTGGCCATGTACTAGGTTGGCCTGAAAGTTTGTTTTGGAAGAGCGCCGAAATGCCCGTGAAACAGTATAAGGAGGCTCAAAGGAAGATCATTAATCTGCCCTATGCCTAACATAGTGCATGTGATCTGCCCGATCTTGACTGCAAGTAGCGATCAATATCGTCATTACTCGCTACTGACCAGCCTAGACCGGGGTAGGCCCCACCTATTGGAAACGAGTTTGTTCTAGCCCGGTGTACTTGGAAGCCGGTGAACGTGCGCCCAGACATGTGAATACCCCTGTCATCGGTGTATAGGGCAGCTATGTGTTGGCGGAATAATGATTGCACCGTACGATGAGCCTGCAAGAAATAAGCCGGGAAGATATAGCCCGTAGATTCCAAACACATGTCAGATATCCTGTCCTACCTGGGCTCAATCGAACCCCATGCAAGCCACGCAGTCCAAGAATCTTCGTTAACGCGTTTAAATCCGCCAATATACACGTCCTCGATAACAACACACCGGCGTAACGTCACAGCCCGAGCCCTCGCAAATGCAGGCTTCCGCTCTTCCGGAGACACTATCTCTTGAACGCTGCGTCGATCTCCTTGCTGCCCCAATCAATTTCCACCTCGCCACTATATACATCCTGATTGATCGTCATCATCCGCTCAGACACATTCATGTACGTCTTCTCGCATTCCTTGAGCACCTTGAATACGAGATCGCGACTAATCGATGGATCGTCTGCGTCACCAAAGTGCTTGTCCACTCGCTTCTTGAGCGACTCGATGCCTTTTCGTAGCTCCTTTGCATCGTGCGAGTGTACCAACTTCTTGAACACGGAGCGAGAGTGCGAAGAGCGTTGCGAAATGGCTTGAGCGCTCGCGCCTGGCTGGCCGAGAAGTGTTTCGGTGGACTCGATAAATTCCTGGGCATTGTCAGACTAACCCCAGAACTTAGAGTTGCATGTGCACTTACCAAAAGTTTGCCCAACGGCCGCCGGATAACGGCATCAACATAAAGACCCATATGCTCATCGTACTCATCCTGCGCCTTGCCCTTCCAGTATTCCAGCACTGAAACAGAACGTGCATCCACCTCCTCCATGTAGTGGTTCATGTTTTCGATAAGCAGAATGTGGTAGTTCAGTGCCTCCTTGTCTTCGGGATCGCCCTGTCCTTGCGAAGCCATGACAGTCGGAGACTCCTTTGCAATCACCTTCAAACTCTCAAACATGGCCTTGTTGATTCTCTGATACCCGTCATTGACCATGCGGCGGATCTCCAGTTGGTTACCCCCGTCAGCTGCAGACGGCAGCATATTTTCGATGGCAGCAGAAAAGTGGGGAAATGTCTTCATGAAGGAAATGACACCCTTGCGTTTCTTGATCTTGACTTTGGTGTCTTCAATTGCCCGTATTTGCTCGTCTAGGAACCGGCTAAAGAGTCCTTGCAGACGCTCGTGAATCTTTTGCAAGTTCCTGGTCAAAAAGTCTTGGTTCGTTTCCTCAATATCGAGCAACTTCCGGTCAACAGCACAAAGAATGCCTACGCCTTGCCTGTGAACAGTTAGCATCGTGACCGTGTGCTATGAGAAAAAAAACTTACAGAGGATCGGCTTTCGTGGCCCAGTCCACAAGACTGGCAATTTCCGCGGGCCAGAACGAGAAAATCTCCTCCATGACTCCAGTAAGATGTTTGGCCATGGCCCTGTCTGGCTCGAATTGCTTTCTGATCCAAAGGTTAGGTCCTCGGCGATTCTCTGGAGGTGCTGCCTGAACCGCATCAGGGAAATCGAGTGAATCAGTTGACGTAGCATGGAAGAATTCTGTGATGAAGTTTTGCTCCGTCAGTAGCACAGGGCCTGTGTCTTCTAGGACCCTGGCAAAGACATCGTATGCGTGCAGCTTGCCATCTTGAGATGTTGGCTTTGCCTTGCTCTCTTTACCCTCTTTATCTCCAGAAGCCGCTCGCAAGCCACGAGCCAAAGTCTGACTTCGCTTGACAGTCAGCTTCCTGGCAGTCCCCGTGATACTCTCTGGCTCCTTTTCTTGTGCGGTAAAAAGCAGCTCTTGCTCCTCGCCACTAGGCTTCCGAGCAAATTTCCTCCAAGCCAGAATGTTATCGCGAACTTCCTGTTGATACAATTGCGCTGCTTGATTCTGGTACATTCGGAGAAGCATGTCCCATGAAGCCCTGTCGATTTCCTTGGCGAAGAGCATTACCGGACTTAACATCCACAGCTCGCTTCGACCAGTATCGTGTGCCTCAATGTTCTTCCTTAAAGACGGCATGGAACCCTGGTCAAGATTCGAAAGAGCATCTTTTGTTGACAGGAAAGCGGCACCAAAGGTAATCTCCATGTGCTTCTTGAGTCGCTCAAGGAACATGGTTCCCTCGCCAAGATACCTATCTCGCTTTTCTTGCAGAGCCTGCATTGTTGCCAAATCGCTATTGCCTATGCCTGATCTTCCGTTCAACGCGTTGAGGGCATCGTTAGCACCGGCTCGGCTCCCTGCCACAAAAGACGGGTCGATCGTAACCAGCGCTTTGTAGAGAAGAACCAATGACGATTCAATGTCTTTGAGGCCACTAATCTTTCCTATTGGAGCACGTCTCAAAGGCTCTAGTTGGTCTGATGTGATTGAGATGGTATCGACGAGTTGTCGAAGTTCTTGCTGCAGCAAACGCTGGTTGGCCGTCTGGACTTGCAGACCCTGACTCTGCGCTTCGATGAAAGCAATGTCGTCGTTCAAGCTACTCAGTTCAACGTTGTATAAGGTCAAAAGGCCTTCAAGTTCGTCGCATTCAGCAATGGCGCGATCCAGCATACGTTCAACAGCTTCCACTCGATCATCTTTTTGCTCTAGGTGGTTGAGCCAGCTCCCTGCTTCAACACGAGCAATCTCGCGTTTGATATCGGCTTCGAGGGATTCAATGTGCTTATTTGAAAGCTCATTACTACCCCAGCCTAGCTCTGATAGTATATTGTCGAACTCAAGACCGCGTTCATCAAGGATGCTAGGATCAATGCCAAGCTTTGATATGTTCACAATCTGCTGATTAGACCTACGCTTCTTACGTCGCACTTCGGGCTCCGCCTCGGCGTTTCTTGCCGCTGCCTTTTCTGGGGCTGGTGGAGGAGCTTCCTCTTCTACCTCTTGCTTAACCTCGGGCACTGTTGGCGCTAATGGACCAGACACAGTGACTGATGGTACAACCTCGGTGCTGATACGTGGTCGCTCTTTGGATGATCGATCTGGCACAGGTGGAGGTGCCTCCTCTGGCTTCTTCTCTTCCTCTTCCGGCTCCTCTTTTGGTGTCTCTTTCGGGGCCGGCCGTTGAGGTACGAACACTGCACTGACACCATCAGGCTCATCAGATGCCTTTGTGTCTTTGTTGAAGAGTTTTGCTGCGGCACCGCCTGCACGAGGCTTGAAAGCTCCTGCTGCTGCCGCAGCCTTCCGGAATTTGTTTGCCGCATTGTCGGCGGTCAATGGTTTCTTTACCATTGGACCAAGACCAGGACGGGGTGAAGCCTCAGTCTCTTGCTCGTCTATTGGGCTGCTGGTGTTTTCAGCTGGTGCAGCTTGGGGCTCTGGTTCAGGAGCAGGTTCGGTTCGCGCTGGTTGAGCTTGTACAGGAGGGGCTGCTACCTCCTCTGGTGGGGGCGCTTGTGGCATAGGAGCTGTTGGTATCCGTGGTAACGGGGAAGTGGGTGGCGGAGTGGGCTGTGATCTGGACACTGCAGGATCTGAGCGTGCAATGCTTTCTTGAGAAGATGGCTTTAACCGCTCTGGCGTCTCTTGGGGTCGTCTTCGAGGCGGTACTTCCATCGGCGGAGCGGGGGATGCTGAAGGGGTATGGAAGACTGAACGTGATTCTGTGCCTTGGCTGTCGAAGCTACGCTGCGATAGCTGAGACGGACGCGTCTCCATTGTGGGTCTTCTCCGCTGTGGAGGTTCGTCTGGAGGCATGTCATCATGTCGGTTGAAGTTTGAACTGGCGTTGCTTTGAGAAGTACCTGGCCGAGCACCACTTTGGGCTGTACCGGGTCTCAGACCTCTGGGAGAGGGATCTCTCCGGGGCGAAGCAAATTCTCTAGGTCTACGCGCGTCTGGTGTTGAGATACCTGGTGCTGCACCGTCTATTGATCGCTCGTCAAACGGTCTCTCTGGTCGTTGAGGCGGACCATCATCAAACGGCGGTCCGCGTGCGGGGCTAAGATTTGTCTGATATTTCGCAGATTCTGGTGTTTTTGGTCGACTGGCAAATTCTGAAGTTGAAGACTGCGGTGTCAAGTTTCGCGGCGCAAGAGGCGATGTCGGTGGCATGAAATTCGGGCCAGGGCCAGGGCCAGGACTGGGGCGAGGCCGCATACTATCCCCGCTGGGTCGCGCTCGAATGGTCGGGTCCATGGGCTGCTTTTGTCTTAGATTAGGCATGGATGGAGCGGCTTGCATCTGATTTGGCAGAAACGGTGGACGTCTGCGAGCCTCGTCGCCTGTGTTTGGTCTATCATCGTCTGGCCGGCCTGGCCTTCTCGGACCCTGGAATTCTCCCGGCGGTCTCCTGAAATTGGGATTTGATCCGGGCGGCGGCCCTCTTCTGCTATCCTCTGTGGCTGGAGGTGGAATTTCTCCAGGTCTTCTTGGGGGAGGTCCACCTGCTTTTGGAGGCATAGGTCTCTGCTCTAATGGTCCCGGTCGCTGTGGCCCCGGGCTACCACCTGCTGGACTGCCTGCTGCTGTTGCGGCTCGACCCTCCGGTGTAGCGAGATGTGGCTGTCCATTCGTAAGGCTGTTGAGTTCGGAAACACTGAATCCTGTCAAAATGGGAAAGTCACCCTTAGTATACTTATTGTAGATCTTGACCATGCTTCCTATGAAAAACTCCTTCTCTTTTGCGGTCCCAGCTTCCCAGTAGTATGGCTTGGTGATGGTCACGGCGAAACCTTTGTCTCCAGCCCACTGCTTGCGTTGCGCCTCTTCCTCGTTGGCAGGGTTGAGGTGGACGTAGTTCTCAACCGCAGACAGCTCTTCCATGGGCCAAGACTTTCCAATAGAAAAGGTGCCGTTGGCGTTCTCCCTAGCTTTGTGCAGCTTGACTCTGCCTGTGTTGCGCACGGATATCATGATGATTCTCGCCTTCTTGTTTGAAGGTGGTGAGTTTGGCGGAGGGGGAGCCTGCGGATATGCGCCATCTTCCTGGACACGAATGTGAGTAATGTAGGATTCCTGGACTGGGACGTGTCAGCATAACTCAGGCCAAGTCTAGGAACCAGCAGGACAGGCAAGACCTAGACATTCATGCCAACTGTATTTGTGGTGGTGCCCAGGAACACGTACGCTGTCCCTGCTCGTCCAACTTGGAGAAGCAGCTCTCAGTAATCCGACGTCGCTCGTCGTCAAACCGCTCGGCGCGCGACATTCCAGAGGGTGCAGAGCTCGAGCTGGAGGCAGAGGGGGCTCCTCTCGAGCCCCCAGTGGGCGGACGCATTGGGGGAGCTCGAGGGTCCCCGCCTCCGTTGGTGTAGTTGCGTGGCCTCCCGTCCATCTTGACTGAAGTGTTGGTAGCTACGTCTTGAGGGGCCCCAAGTTTGAGCGGATGTTATGCCGACTACTTTTACCCAGCGGTAGCGAGGGTTCTTCGTGGTAATGCCATCAATGGTGAATCGTGGTAGTGGTGGTCCTTGCGATGCTGAGCTGGTTGGTTCGTTGGCTGGTCGGTCCTCCGTGAGCGATGGGATTGGGCAGCAATATGCGATGCACGTCTTGGCTGTATCCGCTGGAACTGAGTCGGGCGTGTGCAAGTGGGGATAGCGAAGATGGCGAGTGAAAGGCCCAAAGATCACCCTGCGCAGGTGAGTAACGTTTGGCGTCGTGTACTCACTTGTGAGACGGCAGGCGCGCGGGACTGGGATCACGCTTGCGGCCTAGCGCCATCCGAGGTGCATTCCGCCCGCCGTAACTTTTTTCTCGCGCGCGACCTGCAACCTTTCGATTCTCCACAATCCATTCCCGTCACTACTACGCGATACACGGCCCCCATTGCCCATCATGGCTGCCGACAAGAAAAACTCCAAGAATTCCAGCTCGGACAAGAAGCAGAAGAAGACGTCTGCAGTTGCAGCGTCAACAACAGTCGCCGCTGAAGTACCACTTGACCTTGTCAGGAAGTTCCTCGAGCAGCAGGGAGAAAAAGGCGCCGCTAGCAAGCTCAATGAGTTTGAGAAGTGGCAGAAGAGTGGAGGCGCAACCAATTCCTCAGATGCGCCCGAGCCCATGGACGTCGACGAGGAGAGCGCTTCCAGCAGCGATTCCAGCAGCGGCTCCGATAGCGATTCGGACAGCGACTCCAGCAGCGGCTCTAGCAGTGATTCAGAGGCTGAAAAGAAGCCCCAAAAGCTGAAGAAGGCGCCTGTAAAGAAGGATGACTCCAGCTCGTCGAGTTCGGACTCGAGCTCAGACTCTTCCGACGCGGAGTCAGAAGAGGAAAGCGCCCCCGTCAAGCCCAAAGCAAAGAAGGTCAAATCCGTCTCATCATCTTCTGCTTCTTCGTCTAGCGACTCCAGCGACTCCAGCGACTCCAGCAGTTCGGACAGCAGCGACGATGACGAACCTGCCAACGTCCCTCTGCCCGACTCCGATTCCTCGGCCGCATCAAGCGATTCATCGGACAGCGACTCTAACAGCGACAGCGAGTCTGGTAGCGACTCCGATAGCAGCTCCGAGTCAGAGGCCGAGAAGAAGGCAAGCAAGAAGAATAAGGGCAAGAAGGCTGCTTCAGTATCATCTTCGTCTGCTTCTAGTGCTTCGGACTCCAGCGATTCCAGCGATTCCAGCGATTCCAGCGACTCCAGCGACTCCAGCGACTCGGAAAGCGAAGCCGACACAAAGCCCACCAAGGCAAAGGCTAAGAAGAGTGGAAAGAAAGCAGCAACACCTTCCTCCAACAGCTCCTCAAGCTCTTCCGACAGTGATTCGAGCTCTTCCGATAGCTCGGATTCCGAATCAGAAAAGGAGGGCAAATCTACTGCGTCCGAGCGCAAGGGTTCCGCCAGCGACTCATCCCACACCCTTCCCGCAGCATCGCCTGCTCCCGCCAGTAACAAGCGGAAGGCTGGCTCACCTTCCGCAGAGGCCCCGAAGTCAAAGCGAAGCCATGTCGAAAACCGATTCCAGCGCATCAAACCCGACACAAAGGTTGACCCTAGGCTCGCGAGCAACGCATATGTTTCATACGACTATGCCGACCGCGCTCATGCTAAGCTGATTGTCACAAAAGGCAAGGGATTCACTAAGGAGAAGAATAAGGGGAAGAGAGGCTCATACAGAGGCGGTATGATTGACACCTCTGGTGGTAAAGGCATCAAGTTCGATGATTAAATGGCTAGTCGGGCTTAAGCATTTGATCTGGAGTCCACAGTCTCCGCCGTCCCAACTACACCACGCACGCGCAGCCATCAGAGATATCAGGAGCAATATTTGGGCGCGTACACCTGGGCGAGGGAAAATGGCAGAGGCGCGATCTGGAACCTTCTATATCGCATGGAAAAAAATCCGGATAGTTGGCGCGTACGATCTCGGCGAACCGGAGTTATCATGTACACCAAAAGCAGCATACCCTTCGATGGCAGTACTTTGTATTAGATTTTGAGCAGTTGACAGACTGTTGAATCAGTCTGGCTGGATCAATGGATCTCTATATATTCTACGTTCAGTCTATACGGCCAGATCTCCCAAACTCTTCATGTGTGATGTTGATTATGTGCCGCAGGTGATAGTTTTTAGGTACTTCCAACTTCACAAGAGTCTGACTGCATCCCACGTAATCCATCTTGCAGACCTCCCCTCGTCATCCCCATTATCAATGACTAGGAATCCTTCATCTTTCCCAGCCGGTAGCAAACATCCTATTCAACCCCTCTTCTCGCCCCTCAAGCCTTCTCTCCCTCCTGCCCAAATTCCACAGGAAGATTCATACCCACTCTCCGGGCACTCAATCGTACCCTCTCTTCCTCCGTCATGCCCATACCAGGATTATAACGCTCCAGTAACGACGCATATGCCCGTTGCGCCTGCACATATTGTACAAATTGCTCTGCCTGCTGCACCTGACCATGTATGCTTGAGCCCAATTTTGGTGTTGCGATGGCTGACCGTATGGTTTTTTGGAGAACGGAGGGTGCGGACAGCTTTTGGTGCTGGGTCCGGCTTGTTTGGGGGGTGGAGGGGAGTTCGCGGAGAAGACGACGGTAGAGAGAGCGGACTTGGGTGGGGGCTGATTGCGCCATTGTGGGAGTAATGGTTTTGAGCGATTAATTGAGTGTTTTTGGGGATATGTGGCCAGGCGAAATACTGAGTTGCAGTTGTGGTTGCGGTTGCGAGCGATATTGGAAGTCGATGTTCGCCGCGGAGGTGCTGCGGCGAAAAGTTGCGGGAGAGCTCGGGCCAGGTGTGAACTTTGGATTTCGGATGTGGGTGTAGAGAACGCTTGAAGACTGTACGCGATGAATGGTCTTTCGCTGAGGCCGGGCTACGTATGTAGTAATTGCATACAAAATATTTCTCGGCGGAATTCTGGACTCCCTACCCGATCACAGCTGCGACTACAATCAACCACTGCTTTTCCACAGGATGCGCCAAACCCAAGGCTGCGGCTCCAGAAACACTGGAGTGGAGATGTCAAATCAACATATAGGGATAAGCCACCAACGCAGAGTATGCTGCATATGAGCAAGACGAAAGGTAGCTACCGGCTGGAGTTGACTGAAGAACAAACCTCACCTGCGACCGGGGGTGATCCCTTTCCAGAGGAACCACGACCACTTTCAATGAGAGAAAGACGACAACAGAGAAGAGAGGGCATCTTGAGGTCATCAACGATACATGTGGATCCAGCTTACCTTCCAGAGCGAGTGAAGCGAAAATTGCAAGACCAACTGGAAAGTACGAGACTAGAGGCAGTGGAAAAAGAAGGTTTGTCTCCTGAGCCATCAGCACCACAAGACTTTGAAGCTGGTGGCTCAAAATCATCACATAAATCCTTCGATCCACCGAAGAATAAGAGGGATACATCACGGCGATCACGAAAAGGAAAAACTACCGAGGTCATAGAAGACCTTCAACCATCTACACCCTCACCACCACTCGGCTCGAAGCGCAGATCCGAGCCTATTCTCCCATCCATAAAGCCCGAACTCCCTTCCAGCCACGTAAAGCTCCATTTCAGCAAGCTGGAAGACTTCCATTGGTACTGGGAGTCGTTTCCACCAACTATCGCACAAAAGACACAGGCAAACCACTTTTTCACAAACAACAGCAAGAACGCAAAGTTACTTCGAAGTGTAGCACAATTTCGCCTATTCCCAGAATCAGACGTACCTGAGGTAGCCTTTGTTGGTCGCTCCAATGTTGGCAAAAGCTCATTGCTCAATGCCGTTGTGAACGCAGATATTAAGGCGCTATTAGCACGCACATCGTCAACACCAGGCTTCACCAAAACGATGAATCTCTACGGTCTGGGCGCCGGAAATGGCGTGACCATCAAAAAGCAACCCAACGGACGCGACAAGATAGTAGGCATCGGTGGACTGACTATCGTCGACATGCCTGGATACGGCGAAGGTTCGCTTTCTTCCTGGGGCGTGGAGATTATGAAGTACATAAGCAATCGCAAGCAACTTCGTCGTGTATTCGTCTTGCTGGACGCTGAACACGGTATCAAAGATAAAGATCGTTCGCTACTAGCTTCTTTACGGCTGGCTGGTGTGAGCCACCAAGTTATTCTTTCGAAACTAGACAAGCTCTATATTCCCAATGCCAAGGATATCAAGCGCTTTGATGGCAAATCTGCCCGTCGCTTGGCCCCAAAGGGCACTCCTGGGGATCTTAGGAAGGCTATGGAGAAGCTGAAGAATGAGATTCAGCCACCGGTTGGAGGAGGTGCATTAGGAGAGATTCTTGGTGTGAGTGCGGAGACCTTGGTTGATGGTAAGAGACTGGGTATTGATCATGTGAGATTTGCAATTTTGAAAGCGGCGGGTTTGGATGAGAAGTTTAAGAAGGACATTAGTACACCTTGGGCCAGGGATAGCTAGGAATCCCATAATTGGGTATTTCTGTTCTTATCTTATTTGGTTTGAATCTTCCACAAAGTCCAATGGTAGGATAAAGTCATGTGCAAGTCAAGCGATGCTCGTATGATCGCCGACCTCAAGTAGTAGTAGTAGTAGTATTGGTTTTACGTCCTAACGAGTCGCCGACCTTAAAGTATGGCGAATGGCTGCAATACTTACACCGATCTCGGGCACAATGAATATATCACTCAAATCTGGTTTTAAATAAGGACTCAGAGAGAGTTTAATAAGACCGACTGTGGCTGTGGCTGTGACGATCGATCTTAGGTTTACAAGGAAGGTTTCGCGCATGCTGGTCTGCCGGTGTCTCCATGCGGGGAAGCGGATTCGGCGAAACTCCGACGGTAGGTTGGCCGTGAGGAACCATCATCCCTCCAAAGACCCGACCCTATGAGAGCATGCAGACGGGGTGAGATGTACCGAACAGGCTACTAAATTGAGATCAGTATCAGATTGGTTTACGGCCCGTAGATGAGTTTTGGGCGAAATATCGGCCGAAAGTACCGCCCTCCTCGTGTATATGAGCAGTTTAGCACCTACACAATCTCCACAATGTTTCCACAATCACATTTCAGACTCCAGAAAAAATGCGTATACTTATCACCGGAGCCGCCGGCTTCATTGGACAACTTGTAGCAAAAAAGCTACTCGAAGACAAAAATGCCGCTCACTCACTCATCCTCACTGATATCATCGAACCTCCCATCCCCAAATCCACTCAACCATCCAGCAATGTCCAAGCCATCCGCGCAGATCTATGTAATGAATCCTCCTCCGTCGTTACTCCCGGCCTAGACGCCATCTTCATCTTCCACGGCATCATGTCTTCTGGCGCAGAAGCCGACTTCGATCTAGGTATGCGCGCCAACTTCGACGCCACCCGCGCTTTGCTGGAAACCATCCGCAAGACCAGTCCAGGAAGCCGAGTAATCTACGCCTCCAGCCAAGCCGTTTACAACAACTCAGTCACATTGCCGGTTACAGAATCGCAGCTTCCAACCCCAGAAACCAGTTACGGCGCCGAAAAAATGATGTGCGAGTACCTCATCACAGAGTACACACGCCGCGGCTTCATAGACGGAATCTCGCTGCGCTTCCCCACTGTGTGCGTGAGACCGGGGAAACCCACCGCAGCAGCGAGTTCCTTCATCAGCGGTATGATCCGCGAGCCCATGAACGGTATCAAATGCGTTATCCCACTCTCCGACAAGCAATGGCGTCACTGGCTCTGTTCGCCACGCATCCTAGTTCAGAATCTCGTCTACGCAGCCACACAATTCGACACCACTCGCCTTGCTACTTTTGACCGCGTGCTAAACTTTCCGGGCATCGGTGTGTCGATCCAGGATATGATGGATTCGCTTGAGAGGGTGGGCGGGAAAGACAAGTTGGCGCTGCTGGAGATGAGGGAGGAGGAGGGGTTGAAGAGGATTTTGGAGTCGTGGCCTGCGGTGTTTGATAACAGGAAGGCTCTGGAGCTTGGGTTTCAAAGGGATCAGGGCTTTGATCAGATTGTTAGAGATTATGTGGAAAGTTTGGGGGAGAGGGTGGGTGAGGAGCAGGTTGGAGGGAAGGCGGAGGGAGTAAGTATTAGGACTGTGGAGCTGGTGGTGTGAAGGGAGAGATGCATTATAGAGTGTTTGCTGGGTTGTTTTTGGTTAAGATTATGGATAGATTATGGATATACCTTGGGTGGGCTGGACAGATACGCAGGAGGAAATTTGCTACCATTTTTGGTAACTTGACCTTGCTACTTTGTTTGCACCTGTGACTCAAATGACTGAGCCATTTATTACTCAACAATGATGTCATTGATTGGTGAACAAACTTCAAGTGAATACCATACGTTTCTGAGGAGTTTCACGGAGATATCTCGTTGTAATCGCCGCTGATACCTGGATGTAGCAAAGGAAAGTGAGTGATATACAATCCTCGAGGCCTATTGTAACCTTCCGGCCCAACAAAACCAAGCCTCGCAAGCCATTCAATACTGCACGTGGGCCTAGATAACCCAAGGCAACTACCACTCTGGCTGATTGTCCCTACGTCACTCCTTCACTCCCTGATTGACACAAACACATGACTAATTCATTGTCTCCTCCTTGGCGCCCCTCACTCTCTATATAAACTTCCATTCCCACCCATCTACCACCCTCTTTCCTCACCCAACTCAACATTTATTCTCTCATCAATATAACATTACCCCCTTATGGGGGCGGATTAGTCTACGAAATCCGCCCTCCTTCATCTATTTCTCTTCTTCCTTAACGATATCAACACAAGTCCAATCGTCCACAACGATGCCCCCCGAGGCTACTCCCAGCCCGGCAGGCAAGAACCCACCTGGCCGCCCCAAAGGCGGAAAATCGTACGCAGCGAAGTTCCTCGAGCTGTAAGTAAACGATTCTATCACCATAATCGTTGCTAACGATATCCTAGTCAAGACGAGAAGTAAAGCTTCTCCTTTGGTTGATTGATCAGGAGAACTTGTGATAGCGTAAGAGTTCCTCAATCTTTTTTTAACTAAATTTATCTAACCTACTTGATAGAAACACATTCAGACTCTTCCCCGGTATATTCGGGTGATATATAGGAGTTTGGAGGTGCCTCCTAGAAGCAACGGACAATCACGGCTCTATGCACTATTCTCTTGAGACTTTCCCCGGTCTATCCGGGTGATATACAGGATTTTGGGAGTTTCCGGGCACCCAAATCATTCTCATCAACTCCTAAGCCATATGGTCGCATCTCTCAGATCACCCCTAATCTCTTTCTTGCCATCCCGCGACATGTCCACTTTGAGCAACTCGCCAATTTCCTAGACCCCTCGCAGCGAGTGAGCTACAATTCATGGATACAAGTGTATAGTACGACTTCTCCCACTCCCCATCGCAATACCGTTCTAACATTCGTAACAGATGTATTCCAAACTCTTCCCTGGCTCTCCAGGTGATGCATAGGAGTTCTGTAATCCCAGCCGCCATCCCCGGGTGATGTGATGACAACGACAGCGACCCAAGCGACGAGAATTGGAGTGCGTCGATCCGGAAGCTTCGTCACTCTTGACTCATTCCCTCCCCGACATCCTCGGGTGATATGAGGACTCCTCGGTGCTTCTGAGCAACCCCCCAATTCCTTCCCCGGCATCCCCGGGTGATATGACAACGAGGATATCTCCGCCGACGGGCGGGTGAGGCCACTGCACATGGCAAAGAGTGCTCTCTTTGAGACGCCGTCGGTTCCATAATTCCGACAACATTGGTTTTCTGCTCAGCGGAAAAAAAGTGATAGTTCCTGCCGAGACCAACGACATCAAGTTGAACGACTAGGCGCAATCCAACCCCGTTGTATGGAGAGAGGACGGGGCCGCGCAATCCAGCCCCGTTTTTACAGGAGAGACGGGGCTGGACTTTCCAAAATCTTCAGACAACGCTCATAAGGGAGTATCACACTTCGCAGGTCGTAGCAACTGCTCCGTCCTTAGCTTCTCTTATTCGAGCCGGAGCTCACTCTAGCGTCTGCGGCGCCTTTGCGGGCTCACTCTAAGTCCCCCAAGTAAGTAATATATTTGTTTTAACTAAGAGCAAGCTTTACTAACAATCATCTTTTCTAGGCTCTCCTGTACCGCATGGTCGACCGCGTCACCATCAACTCACCGAAGCTTTTCCAGCCGCTACACTTTATCACTAAAGAGGAGGAGCTTATTAGCGAGGGCGATACTAAGACTCACTCCACCAGCTCAGACGACGAGCTCGCAATCTGCCCAATAACTAGTCATGAGAAAGGAGAATCCTCGAGCATGGGCGCCCAGCGTCGCGCTGAGCGTCAGCCCGTGACGCCTATCAAATCCCATTCGAAGCGTGTCCCGGTTCAGACTCCTCAGGCCAACCCCAGCTCCGCGGTGCGCAACAACCCCACAGTAGGTGAGAGAGCTGCTGCTCGATCCGTCGCTCCAACAGCTACACCAAACGTAAGAGCTGCTGCGCCCTCTCCATGATCCGACGCTACACCAGTTACACCAAGTGCGGGAGCTGCTGCGCCGTCTCCTCGATCCGTCGCTCCACAGGCCGTCACGAGTGTGAGATCTGCTGCGCCATCTCCTCGTCCCGTCGCTCCAAAGCCTGCAAAGTGCAAGGCTCAGTCACCTCTACCAACTCCAGCCAAGCGCGTTGAGGTTGAGGCTCCGCCCCCCGCTCGTGAGATCTCTCGACCTTCTGAGCCTGAGGGTCAACCTCAGGATGAGGCGGAGGCGCGACAATTGCGAATCAAAGACGCCATCAACATCAACGTTAGTACGACTGGCTCTAGGCCTTGGCCGCATTGGGCGCATTGGGCGCATTGGACGTTTATTCCCTACCGATGTCTCGGTAGAGGTTCTTTTGCGAGGATCGGCGTTAGATGAGAGCATGGCGGATGCTCTGGTTGGGGTTAGAATACAGCAAGTCATTCCTCCGCCATGGTTCGGGAGAGAGATGCAATGGCCGGGTTTGGAGAATCCCTCCTGAGATTTGGTGTGTTTGTACTTAGTTTGGAATTTTGAACACAGAGAATTGTTGCTTTCGAATCCACGCTTCTAATGTTCACGATATGCTTTCATAGTGTCTTTTCTCGTGCGAACACTGTCTTGTTGTGAGTCTTACAGATGAACAGTTACCCTTGCATTTCTCTTAAGAATCGATACGACGTGCACCATCGAACCTGGGTAGTAGGCCATAGCATTTTCATACCTGGGCGAAAAACACTTGCGATAATCACATCACGAAAGAATAAGAGGCGAAAAGGGTATCATTTCGATCTATTCATCCAGCAAATCCATAACCAACTGTGGAATAACCTGTACACCTTCACCTTTGATCGCACTAATTGGCACAGCCTGAACGTTGCGCTTCCACGCATGCTGGCGATGGCTCGGGTGAGGCAGAGTCCCCTTAGTCACTCCATCTAAATACTGAAGAAGCGACTCAAAATTCGCCTGCGTATCTGGCAAGTCCGCCTTTGTCGCGACAACAAACCATGGCTTGGAGGATATAGGAGTCGTAGTGATGAACGGGAGCGGCTTCGGAGATGGGTCCAGCTGCGGCGAGTCGATGAGGTCTGAGGTGTCGCTGGGAGGGGGACTGCTATTACCGGCAGGCATGTAAGTGACCATTCTGCGTTCTGTTTCTGCATTGAGCTCCTTGCCGCGGAGGGTCTCGTACTCGGAGACTTCGCGCCAGAGGAGCTGCAGCACTTGGACTGCGTCGCCGGCAGACAGGTCGATGACAAAGGCGAGGACTGCGGCGCGTTCAATGTGGCGCAGGAAGCCCAGTCCAAGTCCTTTGTCTAAGTGGGCGTCCTCGATAAGCCCGGGCACGTCAGCAATGGTGAAATTCTCTCGCAGTTGGCCATCTGGTCTGCGTGACTTGACGAGTGGACGGCCCTTGTGGTTGTCCAGCACAACTGTGCCGACATTTGGTTGGAGGGTTGTAAAGGCCCAATTGCCAACTCGCGCACGGCTATTGCTCAAAGACCGCAGCAGCGTGCTCTTGCCTGCATTGGGCAGACCCACGAGACCCAGATCGGCGAGGATCTTGAGTTCGAGCTGGAGGGATAGCTTTAACCCTTCGTCACCCCGCGTGGCCATCTTGGGGCGCGAGTTGAAGGGCGTCATAAAGTGCGGGTTGCCCAGACCGCCCATGGCGCCCGCTGCTATCAGCATTGGCGTCTCCATGTGCTTGTCTAAATCCAGCCACAAAGGCGCCTCAGGCTCGAGAGCGGCAAGGTGAGATCTACGTGGCGGAGGGAGCTTGGGAAACTTGATCCTGCTCAACTCCGAGGCCATGGTGCCAGGGTATACAAGCCACCTATCTCTCCTATAGCTAGGCTCACCCTGTTCAACATCTTCCTCTTCCGGGCTCTGCTCCATCTTCCAATGCTCTTCCTCCATGATAGCAACAGGGTCATGCCTCTGCAGCTCGCGCACAATGGTTCCTACAGGGACGGTAATCAGAACGTCTGTGCCCCGCTCGCCGCCTTTGACTTTGCCCTGGCCATTGCGCCCTCTTCCAGCCTTGATTAGCCGTCGCCGGGCCAGCTTGTGCAGGGACGTCTCGCCGCGAACGGCTTGGATGTACACATTGCCTCCGCTGCCGCCATCACCGCCGTTGGCAGGCCCTTCTTCAATGTACTTTTCGCGCAGAAAAGATACACATCCGTGCCCGCCCCCGCCAGCCTCGACTGTGAGGATGCAGCGGTCGGCAAATGGCGTGAGTGAGTAGTCGTCGGGTGTGGGGTCCAGTCGAGAAGTATCAGATGTCGAATTGCATCTTCGCTGCGGCAGACATGATTTGCGAAGCAGCCACCTGCGTGAAAGTAGGCCAAGTTGCGCCTGGGACACGGCGGGGTATAGAAACGGCACCAGCGTACCGCTCAAGCAGTTGGTTCGAGCGAAAGACATGCGCCGAGGGTACAGTTGGGGGTGTGAATGCCTTGATATCTTTTGCCGTAGATTTCTCAAGTACGCACACCATCGCGTCGCCGAGCTAGCCAATGGCGGCCTGGTGATCGACGACGCTTGCGCACAACTAGTTCCTTGGCATCTTCTTCATCTTGTCTCTATGTTCCTGTGACTTAAACGTTACAGCTTCATTGCCTCCGCTGACACGTACAAGACGGTTGCGTATATCTGTCTTTAATGGATATGGTCTATCTGTGAGTGGCTTACTCCAATACCTGGTTCGGAAATAGACCCGCCGACCCCGAAATTTTCGTATCCACAACTACCTAAAGGTACATATGAGCGGGTTCACAGTATATTTTCTTTTTTCTCTACGTGTTCAACACTGCAACGACGTCTCTTATTATTTTCCATTGAATCAGTGCCTGGCTTGAAGGATCAGGACTTGCACAATTTCTGCGAACTCCGGACTCTACCACTTTCGCCACCAGCATACCCGCCCCGCCCCCACCATGATTCAGTGTGCCTTGCTCGCCCTGGGGGCGGCTATGCTCCACACCAACAACCCAGTGTGGTCAGGTTTTGGCAGTAAGCTCGGTCTTTCTAGCACCCTTGTTGCAAACCTTCACTGGTTCCTCAAGTGGGCGTTTTCCGTGTGGGCTCTTTTCGAAGCGAACTGGACATTAAATCGCTGGGCCGACAGGCGATGGCGTTTTTCCACCGATAAAAGCGTCTGGGACTGGAAGCGTGAGGTAGCTGTTGTGACTGGAGGCTCAGCAGGCATTGGTGCATGTGTTGTAAAGAAGCTCGTTTCCTATGGTATCAGGGTCGCAGTCCTGGATGTTAACCCCCTGTCAGAAGTCTTTACTAAAGGTTAGCCACAGCACAGGTCCAACACCATCCGTGCTAATAAGGAACTAGATGAACTCGCTCTTATTCGATTTTACAAGTGTGATGTCACTTCGCAAGACAACATCCACCAGGCTGCGGAAGCTCTACGCTCCGATCTAGGCCATCCATCCATCCTGGTCAACAATGCCGGCATCGGGAACGCGTGGAGTATTCTCGACATCCCCTACGCCCGTCTTCAGAGCATGTTCAACATCAACTTAATGAGTCACTGGATCACTGTACAAGAATTTCTGCCAGACATGATTAAGAAGAAGAAAGGTCACGTAATGACCGTCGCAAGTCTCGCTTCCTTTGTCACTGTAGCCGGTGCTGTCGATTACAGCTGTTCCAAAGCCGCCATCCTAGCATTTCACGAGGGGCTTACGCTAGAGTTGAAGCATCGGTACAACTGCCCTGAAATCCTGACTTCCGTCATCCACCCCCACTGGACAAAGTCAGCCATAACAGCACACTCGGCCCTTGCAAGCGGACTGAAGAACATGGGTGGCCAGCTATTAGAAGCAGACTATGTTGCCGACATCATGGCCAAACAGATCGTCGCCGCGAAGAGCGGGCAGATAGCTATTGGTCCGCGATTCGTGTCCAGATTGCGTGCTTTACCTACTTGGCTACAAGAGATGATCCGTGATAGCCAGGCCTACATTGTTACTGGTAGTGGCTCAACAAGGAAAGGGTAGCTGCATTAGAAGTCTTTTAGGTCTGATAGGGATGAATTTGGACGGTGCTCAGCGGTTGCAACAGACATAGACGCATGGAGCTGGATAAGGAATGCAAGGCTGTAATCTCGAGAGTTCGTAGGCATCTCGTCACTGCGTTATATCTCCTTCGTTAATCTCCAAGTTTGTTTCTAGCAAGCTAGAGTCAGTCTGGCTGGTGCAGCAGCTTGACTCGGCCAACTCAATATACAATGTCGATATCTTTGCAGCTGGTCTAACAACCAACGAACAAACCCAGGCACCTATGATTGTCCTCACTGAGTCCTAAAATCATGTCCCAACGCGCATACATATTTATCGCATCATAATTTCCAACACAAAGCCTCCAAAATCGTTCATGCACTCATTTTAGCCACAACCGCATCCTGCGCTAATGTTAGCACTAGCTGGCACCGTGTTATTCTCGGATTTGTTGTATGCACCTTATACGGGCGACTCAGCCCCAAAGGCCTTACCCCACGCTTACCCTGTTTCGGCCCCCCGAACAAAGTGCTCCAATAATAACGAAAGGGGCCTTCCATCGGGTCTTGGAACCAACAAACTTTGGGTGGGTGAATAATCATATGTAGTTTCTTTGTTGTCCGGTTTCATCGGTTTGCTGCGAAAGTCTTGTTTTGTGTTATGCGATTCGATCGCGTTCAATGTGGGTGATTTCCGTTGTGTTTTTTTCTTCCCAGTCTATGTCGTTTCATATTTTGGGTTGATTTTGAGTGCGGACATGCAATGGGTTGGTTAATAGAAGGTTTGGTCACTGTTTGTACTGCGTCGTTGATTGTTGGGAGTAATGGGGCGGTGGATAATGGACAAAGTAAGTGGAATGGAGACTTGTGGCCTATGGAAGTGGTTGATACTAACATATTCTACAGATGCAGGATCGTCAGAAATGCACGATGCGAACAGAAGATTCTCCGTAATACCGCGTCAAGTACTGGCTTTCTATAACAATACCAGGGTGTCGGAGACGTCGAGTGATACTTCTCGCATGTCGGCAACACACATTGACTCCGTCGTCTTTACCTCAACTGAGACAGAGTCTTCAGCAACGTCAACATCCCGGGAACATGCTTTTCCTTCTACTCCCTCGCCCTCAGAATCGATACCGAGTATACCATCTAGGACAAGCAGCAATGCGCCTTCAACATCATCCGCACCATACAGTTCAGGGGCAATATTACAAAGCGTCACGAAAGGAGCGAACACACTTTCAATCACTTCGCTACCCACTGTGATTTCATCGCCTACACCGGAAGTTGAGTACATGTCCTCGACTGTTTCTGAGATACGATTGTCAAGCACTCAGCTGCCAGCAACTACGACCGACCTATTCCATATAGTATGGGATAGTCTTTCTCAAACTTCAAGTTCGAGTCGAGCCGTAAATGTCGCTGTCACTAGTGCTACAACTAGTTGTACATCTTCGACTCTTAGCTCAACACCACCGAGGCTTCCTACCTCTTCGAGGAGTACCACGAGGCTTCCGTCACATACAGTGTCCGATTTGGTCAACTGGCTGCCCCCAATATCTTCCAAAATTGACACCAATAACGATAAAAGCAGCCCATCTGCTACAGCAAAAGCAAGCGCGCCGACCATCACCATTCCTCAAGAAACAGCTTCACTTTCTTCAGAGACCTCGGGAAATTTCTTTCCATTACCGACTGCCGTAGCCCAAAACGCCTCAACTCTATCTCTTCCTTCTACTATCAGTTCTGAGGCGAGCGTGGTTAATACTGATTGGATACCGCTTGTCTTCACTCGGCCCAACTCCCAAACCCTTGCCCCGACGAGCTCTCTCTTACCAGGAAGGCTCACCATCTCAGTATCCTCTAACTTGTTTTCGAACAGTAACTTTTCTGGTTCAGTACCTTCTGCAAGCCTGGCCGTACCAACTCGGTCAGTTGTTTCGGATATTCCAAGTCCAACCAATATGCCATTTCCAGAAAACAACACCTTTTCCTCGTCAGGAATTTCCTCTACATCTGTTTTTAGTACGGGGAGCCTTTTGAGCAGAATCGAAAGCAGTACATATATCCAGACAACGCGGGCGAGTTTACAGCCTTCGTCTATGTCAAAACCATTCACACACAATTCTCTAATACCCACACCTACTCAATCCTCAACATCCACAACTGTTACGAAGACATCATCTGGACAACTCTCATCAATGATTATCTCCTCATTGCGACTGGCAACTACTTCAGGAACAGATGCTACTTCTTCGCTTGCTCTTTTACCATTTCCAGTCATCTCTTCGGTTTTCACCGGCTCTAGAAACGCTTCTGTATCCAGGACTGCTCAATCGAGTCACCCTTTTACCAACCCAATCTTTCCAACCAGCATGAGAAGTAGCTCCAGCACAATTACCGCCCGTAGCTCGCACATGAGCGGGGTATCTAGTTTACATATTTCGTCTATCAGCAGATCAGCGGTTCCCTCCGCCTCTGTGACACCTAGCAGCTTTGTGACCAAGACAAAGACACAGAATTTCCAGTCACCATCGAACATGATGTCAGGAACAGAGGATATTAAGGAAACCATGAAGGGCCAAAGCACAGCTCTTCCTCCTACGAACAGCCCCACTGAGACAGAGGCCGCAGCGGCCGCGCCTTCACTGAAGCCATCTGAGACTGCAGGAGTAGTGATTGGCAGCACCACTGGAGTTCTCCTAGCAATCGTCGCTGCAATCTTTGTCATCCGTCGCTATCATGCATTGAAGCACAACAACGATGGATCCGGGCCATACCCAGAGATGGCCTACTTATACGACCCTTTCCCTGACCATTCTGAAGGTGACAGCGGCAGAGACGAGGCCTCGACTCTCCTATCCGGGGGTACAGGTGTGAGACCATCTGCATCAAGCAGAAGCATCACACTCCCTCGTGCCCCCCACAACTCTCTAGACGACGAATATCACCACACCTACAACGTCAACACGATACGCTACAGCGACCCGGGCAACCCCTTCACCGACGCCAACGACCCCTTCCTAGACTGGCGCAGCAGCCGAGTCATCAGCACACCCACCGACACCGCATCCGCCCTCGCCGCCGCAGTAACCGGCTACAGCAAAGGCCCCCAGAAACCCCTGCCCCCCCTCCCAACCACCCACTGTACTCTCTCCGACCACATCATCCCCTCCCCAACACTAACCCCTCTCCCACCCGACTGCAGTCTCCGCCGCAGCCCCGCCATATCCGCCCGAAACAGCGTAAACTCCCTCCGCTCCCTCCGCCGCCTCCACCGTCTCAATCCCCCATCACCACCCTCCCTTGCCCCCGCCCACCCCACAAAACCCCAGCGAAACAGAACTCTACCATTGACAACCAACGACCTCCCTCTACCCGTCGATACCCGCTCAGAAACCCCGCATTCAATCACCCTGTATGCGAATCCGTCGTCGTACCATCTCCTGCCAAATGCCTTTTCGTATACTTCATCAACGGAGGACGAGGAGGATACGGCGGCGGAGCAGGAGATGAGCCACACGTCGCGGTCTGAGATGTCTTTTTCTTCGACGACGACGATAACTGGTAGTGCGGTTGCGGATGAGGGCGTCGAGGTGCCGTATACGGATTTTCCTACGCCTCCTCTCCGCAGGCTCGAACAAGGGGTGGCGATGGGAGATGGATCGATGGAGGGTTTGGTTGGGTCGCCGTTGGTGGTTTCGCCACGGTCTTACCGCTTCCTTGGTAAGGGATAGTGAGGGGGGGGGGGGGGGGAAGGTGACGACTCAATTAGATTTTTTTTCAAACATTCAGAAAATTTTCTCCTTCAGATATTGTTCTTTTTTTGGCTCCAAGTTGCAAAGCATCCTTTTCCCCTTCTTTTCTTTATTTTAACTTTTTTTTCCCTCCTAAGATATGTAGATAAGATGGGTCCTGCATTCATGGGTTAAAACTTCAAAGAGGGGAGTTGGTCCGTTATACATGATTATTTTTTCTCTGTCAACTTGTATATTCCATTTACATTAACTATCGAGTTATCACAACCTATAGGGCGAATTTTACTGCAGAAATTGGGGCATTTTTTTGGGTTTCACTGAGAGATGGATGGGCTACTGGTTGGTGACAAAAATTGCTTTCTAAGTTCAAATGTGTGTGTGTGTGTGTGACCTCAAACAAGAAAAAGGTTTTACTAGATGATGGATACATCAAGGGCCAGGGATACCGCGAAACTGAAAGAAGTGAAGATGTTAGGTTAGAGAGAGGCGAGGATTGGTAAGGAAACAAAGGGAGTTGGGGGTGGGGGGTGGTGTTACTTGGGAGGTAACGGGCGTGTGTATAAAAGCTTCACGTATATTCTAGCAGAAATGCCGACTCTTTTACAATTTCTAATGCTACATAATAACACCACAAAATTTTCTTCCAAAGCGAATGATGGAAAACATACTACTATTGGAAGCAAACCTTGTCCTAAGCATTATTCTCATTAAGAAGTAAGGCTAGATCTACTCTCTCCAGCTCACCCACGTGCTTCCCACTCTTCCCCTCAACCCCACATCTCGTGACTACCTACTTGCTCAGCCTCACCCAACAAACCTCCACACCCTCGCGTGCCCGGACTCTGGATCTCCCGCAAGACCCAAACGGAGAGACCCGCAGCCCCATGCGTCATGCCTGCACGCCCTCCCTTCAAAAAGAACCTTGCACGCACACCCCCTCCCTCTCCCACCGCTAACATCATTGAAACCGCAGCGGGGCACGCACATATGCATGTATTAGAGGAGGAATAAGCAAAACAGAAAAAAAAAGAGGGGGAAGAAGGGAAGCACGAGAGGATCCGGTTCAAAGTACCGAGTGACCTTTACCGGTTGTTGTAGCGTCGTATACAACATGGGTGTGTGTATAGTAGTAGTACACACACACACATCCTTTGTCTCTCTCTTCGGCTCCCACCCTCCGCTCCGCTCCTTCGCTCCGCTTTGCGTCTAACCCTCGCCTAAACTTCGGCGTGTAGAAAGGACCCATTTGCAAGAAAAAAAAGGAAGAAAGAAAGAAAGAAAGCAAACGCAGAGTGAGTAAGCGAGAATGAACAAGGACGGGAGGAGGGGGCCAAAGAACACACACAAAGGGAAAAGTGGGAAACTGGGTTCGTGTGTCAACACAAGTTCCAATGTATGTAGATGTACATGGAGAAAACGTGGGTGGTTCGTAACTGGTAATCCATGACGTGTTTGTGTAACATATTCCCCCTCCCCCTTCCGATCCCTTTGCTCATTCAAACTGTGTTGATGTCTTTTTTTCATGTAGCATGACCCTGCGCGGTTCGGGCAGTAGAGAGGGGGAAAAAGGAAAGAAAGGATGAAGAAAGAGCGTGCGCGTGTGTGAGAGTGCAGGGTACGATGGGAAACCCCGAAATCACATTTTCTTTTTTTTTTAAAAAAAACTTTTGCCCGCGGAACGAGCAAAGGGAAAAAGGTTGCAATGACCATGGACGATGTGAGTCTGAAAAAAAAGCAAACAAAAGAAAAAGGGATGCAGAGGGAAACTTTTTCAAGAAAAGAAAACTACGACCCTTTAGGATGCAGGGAAAAGAGAGGGACAGTAGAGGTAGAAGAGGAAAGAAAAAAAGAAAGAAAAGTGATTAGAAAACAGTGAAAAAGCTGGGTTGAAGTCGGTTAGTTTTACGCGCATGTGCATGCGATGAATCCTTACCAAAAAAAAAGAGGGGGCGGAGGTAGAGGAGAAAGCTGGTAATCGAAGGAATCGAGGATTCAAAAAAAGAAAAACCCCACCGGTTTGGCTACAGCCATGTAAAAACGTGGTAGCAAGGTCAGCCTGGGGAAGGAGGGGGAGGGGAAGATTGCACTTACCCATCCGTCTCTTCAGCCCCGACGGACCACCCATTACACCTGCATTACACGCACACATCCTAAACCCTGCCCTCCCCTCCCTGTCCCAGTGGCGAAAAAAAAAAACACACAAGATGCAATGCAACCAAAAAAAGCGCCTTAGCATTAGAGATCGCGAGCAAAAAGTAAAGCAAGCAGCAGAAATCGAAGCAAGATAAAACCAAGGATACCTGTTCATGTTGTTCCTTTTTCTTCCGCAATTGCTTTTGTTCGCCTGCTGTCTCGTTTGTGCAGCTGGGCTTGCATACACACACCCACTTAAAGCATGGTCGCTAGCAGTCGCAGCTGGGCTCGCACAGGCCAACTAGCTCTCCCTCTCGAACTACGTTTTTCTTACCGGGCCGGTTATTTTTTTTTTCTTGGGTACCAAACTTCGCTTGTGCTTGTAGGGAAGGTAGGGGGGGGGGGGAAGGGAAAAACGTGCCCCACGTCCGCGTGGCGGCACGGAGTCAGGTCCGGTATGCACGCTAGTCGCTGCGCACAGCCTCGTCTCGAAGCCCAATTGATCTCCTCTGTGCTATTCCTTTTTCTCTTCCTTCTTTTCGCGTACAGGTCTGGATGAGTCCATGTGTGCGTGTGTGAGGGTGTTCCTCCAGCCGGCATCATCCGGAAAGCAAGCTGCACGGGCGGTGTGAAGCCCAGAAAGTAAAAAGTTCCGAAACGAAAAAGCAAAGAGTACGGGACGTCATCGAGTAAGTGCTCCGCAATCTTCAATGTGACTGCACGGGCATGGGTTCGACGAGATCTCATCTTGCATACTATGCTACATGGCAGAAATAATGTATGTGGGCCACGAACAAGGGGACAATACAGGCCAGGGTGAAGAGTTGGTTTATTTAAAAATATCTCTGTAATAAATATGGTTGTCATCCGAAGAAGAGCCTAATCTTTATTTTAGCGCGCCCTTACACGCATAACTTGTGCCATGTAGCGTTGTATGCACGTGCGAGCATGCACGCCTATGCACCAGGGGTCTTTCGATGTGAGAACTGGTCCGCTCTTTTCCTTTTTTCCATATATGTATGCATGCTATGACCTGGTTGTAGTTATTGAACATGCTAGGTAATATACCGCCATAAAATCTGGGGGCCGTGACTGTGACAAACCCACTATCTGTGCTTACGAGTGTGGGAACTCTCGCTCCGTATGCCCCTGATTGGTCCAGAACCTGGCAGTCTGCCTTGTCATCCAAAAGGCCGTTGTGGAACACCAGACTTCCACATTTGAACTCCTTCCCAATTGTGGATCCTCAACGGTCGAAGGACTCCCTACTCCGCCCTGTGGTTGCATTCGCTCCTGCCATCGGCTCCTGTCATCTCCATCATAATGCGAATCCGACCGCTAACTCGGGCAAAAGAAAACGAAAGAAAAGAACAAATGCACCAGCTGCTATGTCATGCTTCCAGAGCTCTTGTTCACTAATCTTCATCCCGTCACTCACCTGCGCACACCCCCTTCCTCATAGACGGTCAGAGGCGTCGATGCAGTCGCACTTGTTTTTCCGGTGGTTCCACAACTCCATCAGCCACTGGTGGGATGTTTCAATTTCAATGGGGCCAGGGCACAATGGAAGCCGTTGTCGGCATTGTTGCTCGTACTCGCGAATCGCCAAATGCCGCCGCAGTTCCTCAATCATACACTCAACCAGCACCTTGGCTTGCTCGTTGTTCTCAGCAAGTGCATCAAGAATGCTCTCAGCCACAGCCTTAGCTTCATTAGGTGGAGCCTGAGTGATGTGGTAGAAGTATTGGCGTCTGTAAACCTCCAAGGATGGATCCCGAGGCGGTGCTAGACCGCCCATCTCGCTTATGAGGATCAAAGGGCTCTCAGTGTAGTTCCAAGTTTGTGATTCATGTATGGAGTTGCGATACAATACCTGCACGTCAAAAAGGTGTAACCTGGTCGCACCCACATGGACAGAATTCAACAGCTCCTGTCTCAAGCCATTGGCATCCAAGTTCGAGTTGAGAATGGGGTTATCAGAGTCCAGATTGATGCTCCGGGCTTCCCCCTTGGTGACGCGTACTTTGACGAATAGCGTGTGCACTTCTCCCAGATACAGCTGAGGAATCTCCTTATTCCCGTAAAACTCGATAACCTCGCAGCCTGTTCTGGCCCGGACATCGACGCTCAAGCCAGTCAGCTCTCCTACGGGCTTGGTGCATCGCGCATCTCGTAAGATGCGCTTGATGCGAATAGGAGTCGACTGATACTTGGACCAGTTGCTTGCAAATACATTACTACAGCAGGTATCAGTGCATGTCGTATCCTGAAACTCCGGCTGGCGACGATACGGAAGTATGGCTGGGTTGATTCTATGGAGATGGAGATCTGCAAAGTACTTTGACACGTCGTGAAGTACGTGGGCTGCGGGTGATAGTACAATAATATGGGTACGGCCAGCCTTGAGACGTTCAACCTCAAGTGACCTGGCTATACCAAGAACGACATCGACCATAGATGGGTTTGGCCGAGGCGGATCCCAGGCTTGGGTACCGGACCGTAAAATCGTAGCAGTAAGTTCTCGGACCATTGCTTCCGTATCTTTGCTGAATCGTCGTATCGGATACAGCATGTCAGGTCGATTTCCGGTCACTTTCCGGTGAGTGCAATGTGTGGTATACAGCGCCAACCGGTCCCCAGAGCCGAGGTGATACTATAAAAAGTAAGTACGGGAAAGCTAGCTAGTTTACTTTTTTTTTCGCCAATGCAGCCTACCAGAGCTCCCTTGACTGCTTCTAGGGACTTTTCCAGACAAGCCTGGGTCACATAGTACCTATGTCTTGCGTTAATTTGCATCTTCGAGACCGATGTATTTGCACTTGCCCATTGTCTACCACAAAGACCACGTCTATCGCGGTTTCAGAAAGAGATCTCTGGTTGTGCAGAGTTCCCTCAATATCGATTGCGACGGTAACTTCCTGCACGTCTTCTGTAAGTACCTTGGCATCTGGGAACAGTCTAATCGCCGCTCGTAGAGTGTTCGGTAGCGCGAGAGGCGAGTTCGGAACATACGCATCAGCCACCTCTCGCTCGTAGTTTGTGGGCGGGGGCATGTGCTTCGTCAAGAGATCCATGAAAGACTTGATCTTTTCACCGCTAAACAACCTTAGTATTGTTTTCGGGTAGCAGGACGGGATTGACATACTCGCAAGCATTCCTTGCCAGATAAGCCATGATGGCACTTTCATCCACACCTTGCGCAAATGATCTCTCCTTGCCCTCATCGTGAATTGTAGATGTTGTTTTGACGGACGATGAGACTGTGTTAGACACAGTTCTAGTGCTGACACTCGTATCGCCAGTTCCTTGACGGCGCAAAAGAGGAAAACCATTCGTAAAGAGCCGCAACTTACTCGACTTGGGCCGCTTTGGTGGTTCGTTACGAACTGGTTCGTTGTAGATGACACCTTCTAGAGCCTGTTGAGCACTCACACCATCAGGACCCTTGGCGGGACCTAGTACCCTTGGCGCATGTGCAGATTCAGACAAGGGCCCATCGAGCAAAGGCCAAGGCATGGAACCCATGGTGTGTGGAAAAAGCCCTGAGGCGCTATTGACATGCTTACCTTGACTGCTGTTGCGCGAATGCGTCATTGGACCCCCAAAGCTCGAGCTTGAAGCTGATGAGCGACTGTTCCTGTTCTTCGGTATCGTCAGAGGATGAGGGCTTGGAGTACGACTGATGGACAGAGGTAGCGTGGCGCACGGCGGTGGTGCTTTGACTGGACACGCCCAATCGAGGACAGACAGGTCGACACTATCATTGAGCGGCAGCTCCTAAATTTCGCTCTTGATCTCGTCGATGATATCGTCTAGTGGCCCGAAGACGTACTGATCGCCAATGTCACTGTGGGTGGACTTGGGGAGTATGCGTCGGCGAAATGTCGCTTTGCGCTGCTTTTTGTGTATGTGTAGCGGGGATGGACAGAGGTGAACGTGGGGAGGCAGGCCGCTGCCGCTTGTTGTCGCAATCATCTTGAGCGGGCCAGTGTTGACAAACGGAGGTGCAAGTCACCTCACCTCCTCACACAGCCCACTCTCACACTACTCACCGTGAACTGCTGTAAGTGTGCGTGGTCCAGGTCCAAAGCCAAAACCCGTTGCCTTACGAATGAAGATGATTAAGAAGAAGAAGAAGTAACTAGTGCACGGGTTGAGATGCGAGATTTGCACACAAAGTCATAGATAGAAGGCGGATGTAGAAACTAAAGGAGAGGACTAGCTATTGTTTAGAGAAGGCATGACAGTGGGGTGAGCAGATGAACAGGATCATCGCTCTTGTCATGCAGCAACAGCGTTTGTCCTTGAGTGTACATCGGCCACAGTGACATCGAAGAGTCCCTGCCCATTGGAGAGGCGTCGGGGTAGCTCTTGCCAATGTGGCATGTGCACGTTATACTTCAGCAGTACGAGCAGCAGCCATCTCTAGGTGCATCTTCATATTCTCCTGCATTTCCTCGTCTGCTTCACGGAAGCGAATCTAAAAAAAAATATCTGTTAGTCATCTTGCCTTGCATACGTGGATGTCGAGAGCTTACAATGTCTTCTCCAGCGCCTGTGCCAAAAAGTACAGGCTCAGAGAGACTAGCTTTGACTGCTTTTCTCACACGCTCCTCCCATACGCCTTCCCAATTCCATTCTCCAGGGCGCCTGTTTGGGCCTAGCGCATTACTGCTTTCTGACTTGTCAGTTACCGGCAGCTCTGGGCTAGGCTCCGTGGGTGGAGATTGCTGAGCTCGCAGAACAGGAGCACGATGAGCCCGCCACGCGTGATAGGCCCCTGGATTGGCAGCGGCATCGAGCGGAAGTGAGTCCAAGATTGACTCATCACTGAAGGTGGAACGTATGTACTCTATCATGCGCACAATGGATATTTCCTCTGCCGAGCGGGCCGCACCAGGAGCACCCGAGGTGACATTAAACTCGGAACGTGCGGGACTGGCCAAGACAGAGCCACTGGGGTGACGAGAATCGGGCACAGAGGATCGAGTTCGTCCAAACCAGTGTGGGAAGCCGTGTCGCAGACTGAATCCTCCCGGTGGCAAGCGCTCTTCATCCGTGGCACTTACGGTATCCGACTCAGCAGATCCAGTCGTGTACGTGTACGTGGTGAGCGGCGTGAGCAAGGGGTGAAAGACATCGGTGGAAAAGGTCACGAGGGGGGGTATGGCAGGATAGCTTGATGGAAAGGAGATTTGGAAGCGTAAGACTGCAGGCGCATATGGTCCTATCAAGAGGTGAACAAGGGGGCCAATTTAGATGGGCGCGAAGCACCAGGGGAGTCGCTTAGCCCTATGGAACACCCTACCTTTTCGCACGAAGATCACACCGACCCACAGGGATGGGTCGCCAGGCGTGATGCTCAGGAAAACGCCATCAAGTTGGGCATAGCGAAGGCGCGAGCTGTGCGAATGTTAGGCTTGCGCTAGCAGGCTGCGTGAGGCGTATGAGAGAGAGAGAGTGTGTGTGTGTAGCCTACGACGTACAACTCGACGAGGAGATGCTGCTTCCGAAAGGACGGCAAAGCCGATGCAGAGCCTGACAGCGGCATCTTTTGACCAACAGTGACTGTGGTAGTATATGTACAGTGGTTCGGCATGCCCTCGAAGCACGGCGGATGGGCGCTTGGCACTGACACTAGCGCGAGCGCTAGCTGATTTTACGCGATCATGTACTTGGCCCCTCCCCCCTTCTCGTCCACTTGGGCCTCATTTACTACAAACTGGTTTCAGGTGCGACACGGGTGTGTATACCTTGTGATGTATTTTCTCACCGACAAGGCAAATAGAGTGGGCGCACAACAGCAATTATGACGGCGTTCGGGGCGGTGCGCCGACGTGGCAGATTAGTAGTGGTGATGTTCAAGAGTTGACCAGGTCATTTGAGAAAGGGGGGGTGGTGGTGAGGCGCCGATTATGGCAATATTACAAGTACCTGCCTTGATTTCCCGATAGTGCCGGCCCCCCCGCCTGATCGTCATCGTTCATCTCTGTCAGACATTTTTTACTCTGGACGCGGTGTAAAGTACGCCCGGTGGAAGGGGAAGGATTGAGGCCGAAGGATCTGTGCCGGACCACATGCACCGGACCGAGTGAGAGCGAGAGGGCGAGAGGCCAATGCCGAAACGGTATGTATAGGCACAATGGGACAAAGGGAGTGGTAACTGCTTTTGGTCTGTTGCATTATTGACGGGCCAGGGCGCCGTTGCGGCGACACGGGCACGTATGTAGTGTGGGACGCCATTGCCAGAATCTGGCAACCCGGGGCGTCAAGTTACCGGAGCCGCCCTGTGAGTGCCGAGCCCGCGCGTGTGCAGGCAGTTTAGTCGCGAGAGTTCATCGTCGTGTGGACGAGGTTGCTGTCGTGCGACGTTGAAGTCAAAATGCGCTGGCTCCAGTCAGGACATCAAGGGTAGCCTTACGGTGACTGTATCACAATGGGCGCCAAGCAAGGCCACCGAAGGACCCCGGATGTGTGTGTGGAGCAAGCACATGTAGGACTTAGTATACATGGCAGGAAGAAAGAGGCATCGTGGCGCCCAAATCGAGGCGACGTCGTGGGCAACACGATGGAGGGGGAGGGGAGGAGCAGGGCCAAGTCTGATCGACCCAGGCTGTCGGAGTCGAGGCTGTCGGTGAGTGGGTGTGGGCTGGACAGCAAGTTGGGTGTGCAGACTTTGTAGTAAGTAGTGAATCAATCATATTGCAGCCGACAAGCGCGTGAACTAGGCAAACCCCAACCCTCTGAAACCTCGCAGACCCAAGTAGACTCGTGTGCTGTGCCGTTGACAAGTCGCGGACGCTGCTGCATGGTGAGGTCGAGCAGCAACCTAGGAGCAAAAGAGCATGGCGCCATGTTCGGAGGATTCCAGCACGACAATCAGAGGGCCAGGGGCATGCGTCGAGCACGGCTAAAAAAGGCGGTGGCTGTCTCAGGCGCTTCCATGTGCTCGACGGCTAAACCCTGTCCTCGCGTGGAAATCTGCAGGCCAGCCTTAGATATCCACACCGCCATGGCCGCTTGGGCCACGGCCCACACTGGCTGCGTCGAAACAGCCGTTATACTTTGACACCTCTGGCTTGCGCTGCCCCGGCCAGCACAAGCAAAGCATTGCTCGACGGGCTGCGACGGCTGGCTGACTGGCTGGCTTTGCTGGCTTGTTGGCTGGCTGGCTAGCTAGCTCGCAAGCTGGCTGGCACGAGGCCAAGGGTGGGGGGCCCACCAGGCGAGGTGGCAGCATGGGCAAAAGGCAAAGGCAAGGCAAGGCATGGCAATGGGTATCTATCATGTACGTATGTACCGACGCAGTTTAGACGACGATACGTGTGAGCGTGCATGTATGTACAAAGCGTGTCCAGCGCACACGGGGTGCGGGCGGAGGGGGTCAGCTGACGGTGGGGGTTTGCAAAAATGGGAGCAAATGCCAGGGCTGATTTGATGGCGGCCGAGGGGCAATGACGGATTGTACCATGTAGACACATCCAGCTAATAGGGCTCTAGAGTAAGTCAGGACAAAAAAAGGCAGAGATGGCAATGGCCAAAGGGCAGGCTGAGAGGGAGCAGGGATGTGGGTGCGATGGGTAGCTGGGGCAGCAAATGAAGGCGGCGCAGACAGGGAGCCAGGCCGCGATCTGAGGGACACGAAACGCGCTGCGTCGTCGTCGTCGTCGTCGTCGCCGCCGTCGTCGTCGACCAGCCGAGCGGCGCGACTCGTGCGTTTGCAGTTGGAGTGCTGACGGCAACCGGGATCGTCGTCGTGTAAGTAGAGGAGTAGGGTAGCAATGTGCATGGCATCGCGACTGAGTGAGCGACGCAGGTCGGATGCGCGTCGCCGCGTGACCGGCCGGCGTGCAGTGTCGCAGCGAGGGCCGTCGAGGGCCATACAGGCCCATACACCGCCCTTTTTTGGACGTTGGTGGCGGGCCGGTTGCAGCAGCGCACAAGACGGGCGGCAATGTGATGGCACAGTATGTAGCATGTCGGCGGATGGTGGGATGTGTGGTGCGTACTTGGACAGGCACAGTAGGTACAGGCCGGGTGGGCATGCAGCGCCAATGATCTCATCACTGGAGCCCATGGATGCTCCAGCAGCCTGACCCATTGCCCACTGCCCACTGCCCACGCCCGTGCCCGCCCGGCTGCGCACTGTGGTCTGAGCTGGGCTTCGAGAAATTCTTCGGCGCCTCTGCTGACTCGCCGCCCGCCGCCGTCGCCAGTCTGGCCGGGCTCTGGCTGGCTGGCTGGCCTGGCGCCCCTGAGGCGGCTGGGAGGTGGTGGTGGTGGTGGTGTTTGTCGCGGGCTGGAGCTGGAGGGCCGGGCATGGGCATGGGCAGAGGGGCAGATGGGCGTGTGGGCGTGAGGCGGCTGGGCGTCCCATTTGTCGGCCGGGGCTGCGGACAGGTTACCGGTTTCCGTTTACGGCATGTGAACGGCCAGGTGCGGCGCCGGCATGTCGTTCCCATCTGAGCAGGGGCCCCCTGCGCCTCAGTCGCCTGTGCCTGTGCCCTCGCCTGTGCCTCCGCCTGTGCCTCCGCCGGTGCGTCCGCCTGTGCCATGTCTGCTGCAAATGCAAAGGTCCGCGCTGGGAAAGGCGTGCGGGCCCTCTAGCGCCGAGCCTTTGGGTCCCGGGGAGTCGGGCTGCGCTGGTGATCCTGTTCCTCTTACGAGCCACGTCCAACGCTCTTGTAACTCTCCCCTGGTCCGCCTTACTCGCTTCCTTCTAGCTTCGTCCAATGTCGTGGATTCCGCCCAACCCGAACCACCGCGCACCACCGCCAGCTGCTGCTTCCCCAGCCCAGCCCTGGCCCTCCCTTCAGGGGTTGTTGGAGTCGCCTGCCTGCCTGCCTGCTTGCTTGCTGATGCTGCTGCTGCTCCTGCACCTGCGTCTGTGCCTGCTCCTGCGGCGCACACACACACACTCACACGCACCGTCATCTCCACTTGCTGCTCATGTCTGTCTGTATGCCTGTCCGTCCGGTGACGCCCACAAACAAACGGCCTAGCAGTAGTAGTTACACGTACGTAGTTTGCTTGCCTGCTTGCCTGCCTGCCCGCCCGCCTGCCCGCCGCCCATTGTGCGCCCTGTCGTAGCAACCATGCCATCACGGATCCGCTCCTCATTTTACATTTGCTGGTCCTTCCGCTGTCCCTATCCGCCCACACTACGTATCCATACCCACTGCCATCACCGCTTCTTCTCCGTTTCTTCCCCGCCGCCACCATCCTTGCTCACTCCCAGCGGGCTATCCGTTTTCAGGACGCCACTTAAATCTTGCTGCTCCTTATATACCCTGTGACACTCGTCTCCTTCCAGCACGCTCCTCTTGAACCCTGGAGGTACCCCATCTGTCCCAGCCCTCGCACATGTTTTATCTCTCTCCGTCTGCCACCTGTTGCTGCTGCTGTTGCTGCCACCACCATCGCCTTTAACCCCCCCAGCACACCAAAACATTGGTCCACATATCCTACACCCTTACACCTACACCACATCGACGACTTGAATACATACGCGCCCCGACTACTATTACCATCATCATCACCACCACCACTACTACTACTACTACTACTACCACTATCGCCACAATGCCTCGGTATGGCGCCCCAACTGCCATGGGCAGCGCCAAAACGCCTTTTCCCACTCGACAAATGGCCGTACTTGGTGAGCCGCACTGCATCCACCCAGACCTCGTCGTCGTCATGTGACTCGCTAACCGACCATCATCAGCCCTGTGCCGGATATGCGAACCCATCGCCTTCATGTCGATCTTTCCCTATGCCTACTTCATGGTCGAATCCTTCATGAGTGGCCAGAGCTCAGCCCAAATCTCAATGTACACGGGCATGGTAACTTCGTCATTCGCCTTCATGGAGTGCATCAGTGGCATTTTCTGGGGCCGACTTAGCGACCGGGTCGGACGGAAGAAGGTGCTGCTCGGAGGCCTCCTGGGCACGGGGCTGAGCATGCTTCTTCTCGGCTTCTCCCAGAGCCTGCCAATGGCGCTCATTGCCCGGGCTCTCGGGGGTTTGCTGAACGGGTGAGGTCATAGTGTGGTTAGCGTCAGAGCCTCGCTAACCGAATATGCAGGAACATCGGCGTACTCCAAACCACCGTCGCAGAATTGATCACGGATAAGCGACACCAGCGTAAGTTTGGCCTAACTTTAATTACCAACGCCGATCCGAGCTGACTTTTTCCTCCCCCCACAGCTCGCGCTTATTCCATCATGCCCTTTGTTTGGTGCCTTGGGTACGCTTCCTCTTCGGCTTCCCCCATTTGTCCTTGGCTGACCGCTCATCTTGCAGCACCATTATTGGCGGAGCCCTTGGCGGCTTGCTTGCCCGCCCTGCCGACGTAATGCCTTTTTTCAAAGCCACCATCTTCGAAACGTACCCGTTTCTTCTTCCAAACCTTGTATGCACTGCTTTTGTTATTCTCGGACTCACGGTCGGCATCCTGTTCCTCGAGGAGACTCACGAAGATCGCAAGTACGATCAGGATCGCGGTCGCGAGGCCGGCCAATGGCTGGTCCGCAAGCTCTGGAAGCGCGATGCACAGCAAACTTTTGACGACAAGGATGCCTCGCTTGACGAAATGACATCGATGCTCAACGACCACGACCACAATGCCCAGGCATACCAAAGTACCGAGACCTCGCCCACGCTCTGCAGCACCCGCACCTCTATTTCGGAATTGCCCGACTTTTCTCTCGACAAGGAACTCGCACCCGCGCCCACGATCCGACAGGCTTTTTCCAAGCAGGTGTGCATGAACGTTGCATGCTATGGCATCCTCGCATTCCACACAATCTCGCTCGAGCAGCTTCTGCCCATTCTCATGTCCAAGAAGCTGCCCTCGGGCGAGAACCAGCATCTTCCCTTCCACTTTGACGGCGGATTCGGCTGGTCGACTCAGACTACCGGGGCTTTCCTTGCTGCCCAGGGCTTCCTCCAAATGCTTGCTCAGGTCATTGTCTTTCCCTGGCTTAGCAAGAAGCTTGGCAGCCTTCGCACCTTCTGGATCACGCTTTCCTGCTACCCGATCCTTTACCTACTGGCCCCATACCTGGCCATTCTGCCCGAGAGCCTCCGCATTCCTGGACTCATGGTTTTGCTCATCGCCAAAGTTACCTTCCAGTCGCTCTCGTATCCCTCTCTGGCTATCATCCTCGCAAACTCATCTCCCTCGAAAAAGGTCCTCGGCACGCTCAACGGTGTTGCCATGTCTTCTGCAAGCATTGCCCGTGGTTTCGGTCCTACTGTATCCGGCGCCGTTGACAGCCTAGGCACCTCGATGCACATGTCGGGCCTCGCGTGGTGGACCATTGCTGCAGTAGCTTTTCTCGGCTGGCTTCCCGGATTTGCTCTGCAGGAGGGCAACAAGCGACCCAACTTTACTTGCCAGGACGACGAGGAGGCCCTTCTCGACAACGACTCTGACGCCGATTCCATCATCACCCTTACCCCCGATGAGACGGTAGACACCGTTCTCACAAAATAGACCTCGAAAAGTTCACGACCAACACAACACGGCGCATTCGTATATATACTTTTTTTTTCTCACTTTTTCGCCTTCTGGATACAGCCCCTGCCATGGACTCGACCTTTACGCGCTGGCAGCGACCCCCTTTGATTTTCGCATTCAACCTTGGGAATTATAGACTTTTATTGTTGGGTTCGACGAACGAACCCTTTGTTTGTACTCTTTGTAATCGGTGTATTATCATGGGAGCGACTTAGCGACATGACTTTTTTGGGCGGCACATTTGAACAACATTTTTTATTAGACGGAAAAGCTCAATTGTATTCAGAGACCAGCAATGGTTGTTGAGCAGGCGTTTGTTTCAAGAACAAAATACCCCGGCATGTATTATTTCCCCATCATCACACTGTATGTATGTTAGTTAGAATAGCTTGCTCAGGCAAATGGATGACATTAATGATTCTCAAACACTAGCAGAGTCTACTTTTTTTCTCTCTCTCTTTCTTTGTTAGTTCCGGACTACGTGTGCATAAGCATGGGGTGTAACGCTGACAGGCCTGACTCGGACATGGAGTGCAGCGGTGAGTTGGCTGGAATGAAGCCGTGTGTGAGCCCCACGCAGAGTCAGGATGATCTACGCGAGGTTCTGCGAAACAAGTCTAACAGCATAAGCATAACCGAAGGGACCGAAGAGGTCCCCCCTTGGATGTTACAGATGCTTCCTTTTTGCTTCTACACGTGCCTGAATCGGTGTGCTTTATGCGCATCGCAATAACCAGGGTCCCGAGTCAGTGACCGCCATGCTAAGAGTGAGGATCTCCGGCACAATGCTTTCCAAGACTGGCGGTCACGGGGTGAAGCAGCTAACACCGCGTGGATTCATACATACTTAGGCGAAAGTCTCGGTCGTGATTGCGCCGGGCGGGCAGCATTTTATGGCCAAATCTCAAAACATGCCTTACCCACGTACTTCGTAGACATGCCTTACCCACGTACTTCGTAGCGCTCATGATTGCTGAGGTGTGCCGCAGTATTAGTAACCCACCTTCCCAGCCCACGCAGCCTATCTACAAGGCACTGCTGGAGAGATAAGGGCCACGGCACAGCCTACTAGCCATGCAACGAGCGACCAACGGCCATCGATTGCTTTGCGGGGGTAGGCTGAATGGCACTGCACGCCCACCGCGCGATTTCTTGGACACGCAATCGCATCCCACATTGATGTCCTAGTCGGCGACTGTGGTGTTGATGGCATTGGGATTGGGATTGGTGGTGGTGGTTGATTGACGCCTTATGTTCAAAGTGCGGGGCGACTAGAGAGAGAGCTTGCCCGCCCCGTTCGTCTTGAGTGAGCTCGGAGATACGCTGCCAAAGCTCTCACTAGCCGAAACCCTGACATTTCTTGCCATGCGCCCTGATGAGCGGTCTCAAGCGCTCTTTGGAGGAGTCCTCTCATGACGGCGATAGGCCCTCGCCCTCGGACTCCTCTGTGTCCACAGTGAAGCCCGCATCGCCCGTCGCGCCCTCGTCCGCGAGCTCGTTCCGCAATGTGAGCGCGTGCAACCGTTGCAGGCTCCGAAAGAACAGATGCGACCAACGCCTTCCCTCGTGCGCTTCATGCGACAAGGCCAGCGTCAAGTGCGTGGGCTACGATCCCATCACCAAGCGTGAGATTCCGCGCAGGTACGAAAATCACATACGGGCTGAAGCCTTCTTCCTGCATTGGCCTCGGCTCAAACACTGACGAATGCGATAGCTATGTCTACTACCTTGAAACCCGCGTCGCGTACCTCGAGACACTACTGCAAGAGCATTCAATTACATTCCAGGAAGCAGAAGACTTCAACCCGGCCTTTGCGCCCGGCGCATCCTCCTCGTCAAAGCCCGTCTCCGCTGCTGCTGCTGCTGCTGCTGCAGCGCCGCCACCTCGCAATGGCACCTCCAAGCCGACACCCGCCCAGGTCAAGGAGGAGAGCGACAAGTATGATCGCGAGAAGCTGACAAAGCTTGTGTCGAACATTGGAATGGTCTCGGTGCAGGGCGCAAGTGACCCGCGGTACCTGGGCTCAACCTCTGGCATATCCTTCGCAAGAGTAGTGTTCGCAGCAGTCAAGAGCTCAGTATCAGGCTCCTCGTCTGAGCGCGGAAGTAATCGCGGAGGCAAGGTGCCGAGCAGCGCCGTCGTCGACAGCGGCACCTCGATGCGCGACTCGTTCTTTGGCCTGCAGACCAAGCCTACCATCCGGCAGGCGCCCTTTCCTGACCGAGAGCTTGGGTCGCGTCTAGTTGAGCTATACTTTGAGCACGCAAACCCGCAGATTCCCATTTTGCATCGTGGCGAGTTCATGGAGCTGTTTGAGCGCGTGTACGCCTCGGGGGAGCGGAACCGCACTTCGCGAGAATCGTACATGCTTAACATTGTCTTTGCCATAGGCGCTGGTATCATACTGGGCAGTTCCGACTCTGAGGGCTCGCCGACGTCGGACCACGGCCGCTTCTCAACCAAGTCACGATCATCACCACCGAGCAGCAAGAAGCGGCGACTTGCAGGTCACCAGCATCATCCCGAAGAGTACCATGCTTCCGCCATTGTGCATCTGGAAAACTTTCTGGGCTCATCCCCTGCTGCGGACCGGCCCGACGGCTTCGGCGGTGGACTGGAGGAACTACAGGCTGTGTTACTTCTTGCAGGCTTTGCACTTCTCAGACCCGTGGCCCCGGGTCTGTGGTATATTGTTGGCGTTGCTGTCCGTCTTGGTGTCGATTTAGGGTTGCATTACGAAGACGGTGTGGGTATTGATGGGGCGGCATCGGAAGACCCGACTGCTGGGAATTCGACCTCCAAGACCCAAGGTAACGGCAGTACAACGGCTACCAGCAGTGCCAATGCCTCAAAGATCGATGCCAAAGAACGAGGCCGCAGGCAGTGGGTTAGAGACTTGCGGAGACGGTTGTGGTGGTGCGTTTACTCTCTTGACAGGCTTGTGAGTACATGTGTTGGCAGACCATTTGTAAGTACACCTTTTCTTGAATATTGTGTTTTGTGGGAATCATGAAACAGTGCCGGCTTGATCTCGGCTCTCTTCTGGTCTTCCTTGTATGAAGTCAAATGTACAAAAGCTGACAATTGGGCAGGGTATCACAGATCAGATTGTAACTACAGAGTTCCCTTCACTGCTCGATGACCGTTACATTACCAAGGAAGGATTTCTGACACCACCGCCCCACCAAGAAAAGCCAACATACAAGATTGTAGCTCATCATTATTTCCGGCTCAGACTACTGCAGTCTGAAATCTTGCAGGTCCTGCAGCATAGACAGGCACAGCAGGCAAGAGCAAGTGGTGCAAACAGACAAAACGAGTTTATGCATACCAAGCTGCCCTCCCCATTCCTGGTTAACTTTGAGTCATTCCGGGCCTGGCGCGTTGATGTCGACAGGCGACTGTTGGAATGGAAGGATTCTGCGCCTACGCAGCAAGACGCTGGCGTGCAGTTTTCGCCCCTCTTTTTAGAGCTCAACTATTGGCAAGCACTTATCATGCTATACCGACAGAGCCTGGTGGTGCCATCTGGCCTGCAGGACGAACTTGGCAACACTGGCTCCGACATGGGAAGTCCGTCCATGAGCAGCCTTGAAGAGAGAGAAGATGAAGATCTGGTCTTTCTCAAGGTAGCCGAAGCTGGGCAGAAAGTGCTCAAACTCTATCGACAGCTGCATCGGGTACATCTGGTCAACTACACGTTCCTCGCTACGCATCACCTCTTCATGGCGGGTAAGTGCATTTTAGGTTTATTGCCCGCAACATGCTAACATGTTTAAGGCATCTCCTTTCTATACGCAGTATGGCATAGTGTCCATGTTCGGAGCTTATTGGTACGTCGGTGTAATATGCCCGTGATACAGGGTACATGCGTATAGTCTGATCTCGCTGACCACTGCAGTCACTTGACGACGTCGACTTTACCGTCCTAGCCGCCACATCCGTCTTGGGTGATTTGATCGACAAATGCCCGCCTGCAGAAGCGTGCCGTGACGCATTTGACCGAATGAGTAAGGCGACGATTCAGATGTGCATGTCAACGACTGGTTTCGGACCCCAGGCCCTGCGCTCCATGCCGCAGCTCCATCAACACTATCATTCACAAAGTTCGCCAAGCAAAACCCACTCGTCTGCAGATGCAGATACGAGGTCCGACACTGACATGCAGGGTTACGGCGCAGGAAACACAGCGGGGTTCTTCAGCCAGCAACATCAGCAGCAGTCACAGAAACCACAGCAACGGCGTCCAATACCACGCTTCGACATGAATCTCAAGGACCTCTTCTCCGACGACGAAACAGACAAACGCTCCTTCAGCCGCGTCAGCAACCAGGTAAACGCCATGCGGCCCCCACCACCGCCGCTAAAACAACAACTCCAACAGCCTTTTACCGCCGACCTCAAAATCTCCCCCCAACTCCGTCATCCTTCTCTCCAACAACAACAACAACAACAACAACAACAACAACAACAACAGCAGCAGCAGCAGCAGCAGCAACAACAACAAACCCCTTTCTACCCCCAAAGCCCAACCCAACAATCTACTACTAACACCTACTCCACTACACCTCCCGCAAACCCCCCCATGCCCTCTCCCTACCAAGTCCCTTACCCATCCTTTTCCCAAAATCTAAACTCTTCCTACCCCGACTTCGCAGGCTTCTCCGACCTCGACTTCCTCGAGAGTTTTCCCCTACAAGGCGCAGGTGGTGGCGTAGGCGAAGGCGGAGCAGGAGCAGCAAATAGCGACGGCAGCGCTATGAGTGCCATGCAAGATGTAGGTATAGGCTTTGGCATGGGATTCGGAGATGGCACGCATGATTGGAGTGATGGGAATGGGCTAGATCTCTTTGATGGGTTTTTCTTTGGTAAGTTTTTTTTTTGGATTCTCTTTCGCCCTTTTTTTTTTGGGGGGGGGGGGGGGCTCCCGCATGTCGCGGGGGGGCCAGCTTTGTCTTGAGATCGGGGTAAGGCGGGGGACTGATTGGTAACTTACCTTTTACCGATGAGAGTGAAAAACAAGGAACATGTTTTTGACTTGGTGCTAACGTGTTTTTTTCTTCTTTAGGCCCTGGTGGAACTGGTGGGTAAACTGAGCTGGAAGGATTGCCGCGATTATGGGTTGTACGTGTAAGATCAGAGTCAATATGACGTTTTCTTTCTTTCTCTCTCTTCTGAACTTGCTTTTCTCCTACCGTTCATCTGCTTGCTCGCCTTCATGTTTCTCTCACCCCCCTTCTTTTCCCTTTTACCAATTTGCCATCGTCTGATGCCGAAACTCCCCATCCATCCCCTCCCCTTTTCATTCCATGTCTAGTACTATACACATGCCCTGGCCCGCTGCTGTTGTTTCCAACGTGGGGGGGGTGCCAGCTAGGCGGTGAACCTGGGGCTGAAAGGGGGAATTTGGGTTTTGGGGGCCGAATGCGCGAGCTGGGAAATTTGGGGTAGAAGCTAGGGGAGGGGGTGTGGGGGTTGTGTGTTGGTTTTCCAAACTACAAACAAACAAACAAACAAACACCTACCCTTCCCAGCCTCGTCCCTTCTTTTTTTTAAAATAAAAAAATTTCTCTTTGACCGGATCCCGCCGTTCGCCGATTAAACAACCCCCCCACACACACCCCAACCCCAACCCCATGTTCCCAGCTTTGTGATTGGCAGGTTGAGCTGAGATGAGGTTATATAGAATTCACCCAATAGCAATTGAGCATCTGAATTATACTCACGTTACTACGTTCAAACCCAGCCATACTAGGAAATCAGGCTATCCTATTTGGTCCTGGGTTGGTGATCTCGGTGCATTGCCCCCGCCCCCCTTAATATATGGGACAACGTTGGTTCGGTAATTTGAACTTGTTTACTACTTACTTGCCGCCTATAAGCATATAAGAGACCCGATTCTGGCAGGGGGGGGGGGGGGCTGCCATTCTTTTCCGAGATAATTGATCTGATACGCTATATAGCAAACAGAGGGGGAAAAAAAGTCAAGCGATGCGTATAAGAGAAACAGTAACATGGTGGCTTTTCGTCCATTGGACTGGGCTGGCTAGAAAGAAGTGGCTTTGTTTGTGTATGACATGTTTTCAGATATGGAAACACTAATCGTATGTTACTTTGCATTCCATGATGCTTTTATAGGCTTGTATTTATTCCCTGACCATTAGGTCTTCTCCATCGAAACGTAGAGCTACACGACCGTGCAAATTAAGCTCATACTTGAAGTGTCATCCAAGTCGTTCAAGTGGTCTGACATTTGGAGAGCAAAAATCAAGACGAATTGAACAAGAAATACTTCACAAAGAATGCATAGTCAATAATCACACACTAGACACTGAATTCCCATACAGCACATATCGTACACAGATTAAATGGAATAAACTTTTGAATTCCTTCTTCAGCTGACATGCAGAAGACTTGTCTAAGCTAACCAGAGCATGTGGCTCGGCCTGCCCTCCATCCTCTTTCGAGGAGCGGGCGACCACTGATCGTAATCTTCATGGTATCGTCTTGAAGCTAACCGTTACTCCACCCAATGAACAAAAGCACAAAAACTTAGTTCATCTGCCTGACGAGCTGGTTGATGAACTCCTCACGGTTACCAAGGTCACCACCCTCGATGAAGTGCTTGAACTTGCGGGTGCGGAAACCACCAGTAGGCGAGGAGAGCTTGAAGGGCCAGAGGAAGTTGGAGACGGCCTTGAAGTTGGGGCCGACGGTGTAGAGCTCGTGGATGATGTCCTCAATGCAGGTGATGCCGTACTTGCCGAGATTCTCCTCGATGAGGGCGTTGTCGGTGATGGGCAAGCGCTGCTTGTTGACCTTTCCGTAACCACGCTTGTAGACAAGCTCACGGACGGTCTTGAGGTTGGGGTATCCGTAGGTGACGAAGGGCTCGACAATCTTCAGCATCTCAGAGGTGGCCTTGGTGAGCTTGACGAAGACACCGTTGTTGATCTGGAGGAGACGGAGGAGCTGGAGAGTCTTGCGCTTCTTGGGGTCGATCTTGTTGATACTGCCAGGAATTAGCATGCGACTAGCCGTTTTGCAGGATTTTTACGCACCCCTTGATACGGACGACAAAGGCGAGCTTGGCCTCGGCAGGGACGTAGAAAGAGTTGTCGCGCTTCGCGGCACGCTTGGCCTCGATGATGTCCCTCTCGGCCTTGACGTACTCCTGGTTGTACTTGGCGGCCCTCTCCTTGATGACCTCGCGCTTCTGCTTGTTGGCCTAAGGAAATCTTAGCCAACTGTGCTACTCCTATCTGCTTGCGCAGGTTCTGGGAGATTTTATACCTCACGCTTCTTCTTCAGCTCCGCAGCCTGGGAGTCGGTGGCCTTCTGGTGAGCCTTCTGCTTCTTGAGCACCGACTCGGGGACGGCAATGTCATTGTGGGTGGGGACGCTGAAGTACAATTAGCATTACGACGAGTCTGCTATGGCATTGAACTCACGAAGTGCGGGCCATTTTGCTGGTGGTTAGTGGGCTGCCTTGGTGTTGTCGAGACGCTGAAGAAACAAAGTTCGGCTGGGGGAATCGAAATTCATGTGTGGACGCTAGTGGACGCGCCAAGACATCCAGCCGCGCTAATGCCCCGCTCCATTGGTCCACTCTTCGCCGCCTTCGACATTTTCCTGAGAGCTACCAACTTGCGACAATTGCTGCAAGGTCGCCAAGTTCAGGCTTTACATATTCATATACTTAGAAATGGGACGAGGAGGAGGTCGCGTAAGTCCTCGCAGCATGCGCCACATAAAAAATTCACTAACTTTATCTAGGGCGGCGGTCGCAAACCATTCCGCGGCAAGAACAAAGGTGGACGCGGCGGCGGCGGTGGAGGACGAGATACTCGTACTGAGCCGTGGTCTACAATTGAGCGCAAGAATGAGCTCTTTGAGAGCTATTATCGCATGGGAGGCTTCTTGGACGAGGCGGAATTTGAGGAAATGTGGAAAGCTCTCCAAGCAGACCTGCCTAACAGCTTCCGCTTTACTGGTACAAAGTCTGATGCTCTCGCCGTGCGTGAGATCTTCAAGCAGCGATATGTTCCAGCGATTGCGTCCAAGCATTTCGAGGGCAAGCCAGTCTCGCCTCCCGAACCAGTAGCGGCCTTCCCTGACGAGCTTGTCTGGCACATGAAGACGCACAAGAAGATCATTCGACGACATGCGCCTTTTGCCGATTTCCAGAAATTCCTCGTTGCCGAAGCCGCCTCGGGAAACATCAGCCGACAAGAGGTTGTCAGTATGATCCCACCACACTTTCTCGATGTGAAGCCGGGCATGGTGGTTCTCGACATGTGCGCTGCACCAGGTAGCAAGTCGGCGCAGCTGGCTGAGATGATTCATGGTGACGAGGAGGAGAGGGTGCAGCGGGTAGCGAATGGCGAGTCTGTCGATCTCAGCACAGACGGTGACTACAGCGATGATGGACGCTCGACAGGTTTGCTCATTGCCAACGATTCTGACTACAAGCGCGCCGGCATGTTGGTCCACCAGGTCAAGCGACTCAACTTCCCGAACCTGATCGTGACGCAACACGATGCATCGATATTCCCCTCTATCGAGTTACCCAGCCAGGGCGGCAAGAAGCAGTACCTAAAGTACGACAGAATCTTGGCTGACGTACCCTGCTCTGGCGACGGTACAGCTCGCAAGAACCCCAATGTGTGGCAGAAGTGGACACCCAAGGACGGCCTTGGTCTCCATGGTCTTCAGCTGCGCATCTTGTTTAGAGGTCTACAAATGCTGAAGAAGGGCGGTCGTATGGTATACTCTACCTGCAGTATGAACCCTGTAGAAAATGAGGCCGTTGTTGCGGCAGCTATCGAGGCTTGTGGTGGAAATGCCAAGGTCAAACTCGTCGACTGCTCAGACCACCTCCCGAACCTCAAGCGCAAGCCGGGTCTCAATTCATGGAAGGTCCTCGACACTTCATCCGTGACTGCCGGCGGAGAAAAAACCGCTCATATGTTCACAAACTGGGAGGCGTACCAAAAGGCAAGGGCCAAGTACGAGACTGAGGAACCTGAACGCCAGTTCTCCACCAAGGTCACCCCTAGCTGCTTCCCTCCTATTGCCAAGTCCGAGCAAGAGCGCATTCCTCTTGAGCACTGCATACGTGTCTACCCACATTTGCAGGACACTGGTGGCTTCTTCATTGCTATTCTCGAGAAATTGGATGATATCAAGATTGCGCAAATACAAAGCCCAGAGACCCTCAACAAAGGCGATAGGCAACAAGCTGAGACGACAACCGACTCCTCTGTTCCGACACCAGCGGAGAATGTCATTGAAGCGGACGCTACAAAGACAGACACCGCAGATGACGCCTCTGATATTTCGGCCCCTCTCAAGCGCAAGCTGGAAGAACCCGAAGACACTGAAGCGCCAAAGAAGGTCAAGACCGATGACGTTGCGGAGAATGGTGCTGCATCAGCCCCAGCCACCGAGTCTGCTACAAACGGCTCAAGTACTCAATCCGTGGTTTCGAAAGGAGCCAGTCTCAAGCCTGAGAACCAGAATCAGGCCAAGGAGTACTTTGAGTACCTTTCTCCTGATGACGCGACTATCGCCTCCATCCTGGATTTCTTCGGTATCGACGAGCGCTTCCCGCGCGACCGCTTCATGGTGAAGAACAAAGAGGGCCTCTCCCTCAACAAAATCTACTACACCTCTGCCTTTGCGAAAACCATCATCTCGCAAAACAAGGACCGCGGCATGAAATTCATCCACTGCGGCGTCGTCATGTTCGTCGCACACAAGATCAAAGATCTAGACCGCACACAAGCCCCATGGCGCCTCCAAAACGAAGGCATCCGCATCCTCGAGCCCTGGGCCAAAAAGCGCATCGTCAAGCTAGAAAAGAAGGAAACCCTTCACCAGCTCATCCGTGAGATGTTCCCCAAGCTCCCCAAAGAAGGCGACACAGGCCTCGGCGAGGTGGGCGAACAGCTCCAGAAAATGGATGTCGGATGCTGCTTTGTCCGTGTGGAAAAGGACGAGGAGCAAGGTATTCCGTTCCGTATGGTACTGCCTCTTTGGAGACATCCCGGTAGTGCGAACCTCATGGTTGATAAGGATGATCGCAAGGCTATGTTGCTGCGGTTATTTAACGAGAAGGATACCGAGATCATTAATCATGTGGCTGACAAAGCGAAGGCGGAGATGCAGGCTAAGGAGGCGGAGGAGGCGGCTGAGGAGGCAAATGGAAGCGATGAGGAAGAAGGCGGTGTCAGTCTTGATGCAGCAGATGGTGAGGATGTGAAAATGGGTGAGGATGCTTAGGCATCGTCGTCATCAACAATTTTCTAGATGCATGGGTGTTGGCGTTTTTCCCTTTAACTATTTTTCATATACTTATCACGTACAGCTTCAGATATTCAATCACGCATGACGGTATCATGGATTTATGAACTATTTTGTCTATGTGAGCATCAAATTAACAATGTGAGATTGTAATGCATGAAACATCAAGTAACCATTCTAAACTAAACTTCGTATCCGCAGCTTAACCTCTTCTCACATCCATTGTATCAAGTCCAGTTATGTTCCTTAACCCATGACCTTTGCAATCACATAAGCACTTGCATAATTCCTTTTTTCAAAACACCAATCAACCCATAAATTCAACGGATATCAAGTCCCTAATCATACAAAAAACGTCTCATCTAGCATACCATTCTTCCGTCTATTCCAATCATCAACGATAATCATTCGAGTTGTACGAGTTGCGATTACCCTGGTATCCACCTCCGCCTCCACCACCGCCGCGATGTCCACCTCGTCCGCCCCTACCACCACGACTTCCTCTATCGTCTCTGGGTGGACGATCACTGTAAGGGTTGCTGTTGTTTTGGTATCCACCGCTTCCAGGTGCACTGCGCCCGAGGATTTCGTCCGCGGGACGGTAGAAGCGTTCGTCCCGGAGGGAACTGTTGTTTGGGGCCTGGCGAGGTGGCGGTGCGCCGTGTTGCTGGTTTGAGTCGGCCATCCAGGCGGGCCGTTGGCCAGCGGGTGGTGGGACAGGGGGTGCGCCATAGGGAGGAGCGCCGCCTTGCCAGCCGCCTACGCCGGGGGGAGGGACCCAACCTGGGGGCGGAGGAGGTAGGAAGTTCGCGCCGGGTAGAGGAGGGAAGTTGCCACCGGGGAATGGAGGCACAAAGTTGGGGGGTGGCGGTGGGTAGCCGCCAGCTTGGCCGCCGCCGTAACCACCTCTGCTGTTGTTATCCCAGTTGCCGCCTCCACGGCCATTCTGGTAACCTCCTCGTCCACCGCCGTTCTGGTAGTCGTTGCGGTTATTGTCATTACCGCGGCGATCATTGTAGCCTCCCCGACCACCTCCACCACCTCCACGGCCGCGGCCACGGAAGCCACCGCGTTCGTTGGAGCGACGTACCGATTCAGCCTCACCAGGACTTAGGGCTGGTTTGGGGAGCTTGACACCGTCGAGCAGAACAGACTTGTGTGCTCGAGCCGAGGTCACTGTTGGCATTTCGTAGTATACCCTGTGTATTGTTAGTGACTGGCGTTAAAGATGTACATTTACCGTGACATACCTCATTGAACGATCCTGGGTGATTTCAAAGTCTGTTACGCCGTCGGCGTCAAACGGTGGCACAAGTTGGCTGTCCATAACAAACAAGTCGTGTGGCTCAACGTCTCCATGAAGCGCTCGACTCTTAGCAGGATCGATCCTGTACTTTTGCTGGCCCTTGCGATACAGAGCCTTTTCTACATCATCGAAAAGGCTACACTCTTGTGAGAACATGAGAGTCTCTTTTCCAAATTCGTTTCGCTTCCTCTCATCGTCTGAAAGCTCAGGGTACTTCGTGGCCATGGCGGCAAGCAGTCGCTTCTCGTCAATGAATGGCAAGACGGCGACACCTTGCCAGGCGAACTTTTTGCCATTTAGGTCAATAGGAAAGTCCTCTGGGTAAAAGTCAACAATGGAGCTGTTCGGGTCTTCCATGAGTACACGGAAAGGTTCAGGGATGGCATGGTTAGATGCGGCAGGCAAGACACCCATCAGTTGCTCGTATGGATGGAAAGGCTTGCCCTTCTCAAATAGCTTTCGGGGGTCCATGTCTTCGAGACCAACAAAGTCGGCAGCGAATGGAGCATAGTGGTGAGGGAAGTACCAAGTCCATGAAGGGCAGCCTTGCATATAGTAGGCCAAGACCCAGCATAGACCTTCAGCATACTGGCGTGCGACTTTGTTGCGGAAGGCAATGTCGTTGGGTGCAACACCAAACTTTTGCTCGTAGTAACGCTCCTCGTAGCCGTCTTCCCAGAGCTTGATAGTATCCTCTGGAGTGCCATCGTCGTTTTTCTTGGGCTCGGTAGCCTGGGTTGGAGACTCGGGAACGACTGGCGTGTTGCGCCCAGGGGTCCCGTTGTCGAGATCCTCTATATCATCTGCCTTACGCTTTCCAAGGTGGACAGGTGTTTCAGCACCAGAAGCGGATTCGGAAGCTGGCTCAGACGCTGGGGCTGACTCAGGCTCCGGGAT